CTGTTTGACTGCTGGGGTGTTTTGTTTTCACTTTGGAACAATCATTTTCACATTGGTCACAATCACGCCTGTGGAACATAATTTTACTGTTTAGAAGCCAAATATATGTGTGGTATAGCAGTATAGTGTTGCTATGCACAGATCGATTAAAGAATTCCCATTAAAATTAAATTCGGCATTCATCGGTTATTATTACATGGTTTGCTCACTTTTATTTACTTTACAAAATGCGTTCAAGGGCCTGAGATGAGAAAGCAAAATTCAAAATGGTTTATTACCATTCACATATACACTCGTCACACAACTTCTTATCTTGAATTACTTTTTTTATATTCGTATTGATTTTTCGTCTATTTCAAATCATTTCGGTAATTAAAAAGTGGACCGTTTACTTGTGCTTAATAAATAAAAGTCATAAAGGTGATCAAACAAATAGTAAATAAATGCTCGTTTCGGAAATTAATTTCAATGCCGGGTTTAATAATTATTTATAAAATAAGTTTTTCGGCAAGGAGTACATTTGTAGAGTATAACTTATTAGTGTCCAGCTTTATTTGTCATCCAATGATAACGCTGTATTTCTTAAAAATTATGTGTGTTAATTTTCATGGAAGAAAGAAAGTCGATACTATATTGAAATCCGTTCATAGTCGCCTTCTATTTTTCATAGTGCTTCATAGTAGCGCGTAGTGACGTAATCAAGGGCCAAATAAAGCTTGACACTAAATATGTTAGTGTTCATCCATAGCTGTTCTACAGAAATTAGAAACATTCTCCTGTCGCTATCGCTCCCGTCGAAGTTTCTAATTTCTGTAGAACAGCACGGATGAACACTAACATATACTTAGTGAACAATTTAGTTGTACAGCGCCAATAACGTAGTATTTTGTTATAAAAGCAAAAAAATATATGAATATACATTGATATTCCAGCATGTTATTTTGTTTTTAATTTCAAACAACAGGCCAGAGATTGTGAGGCCGATTACTGAAGCTATTAAGTAAAAACATTAATATTTCAATCGTAAAATTTTGTTGGTATTTTTTTAAGCATTGTGGATCTTTAGAGTGTTTGAAAAAGACGGATACTTTATCTGTGAACAGCTTTTGAACTTATTCTCAGTGTATTTTTTATTCTCTAAATGTTTGTTAACAAACGTCAACTGATTTTTAAAAATTGCAAAAGAAAAAAATGACTGTGAATCTTTAACCTTTATACTGTTATTTTAGTATGCATATTTTTAGTTATAATCTATATATGTGATGATGATCAAGGAAAACAAGACTAATTGTTCTGTTTTGGTATAATTATTGACCGTCATTATACAGCTTAACCCACAATCATTGTATAATTTTTGGCAATAGTTTCTACCCATGAGACCAGTACAGACCAAGACAACCCCGTACGGTCTAATCATTATCTGAACTGTTCCTTCTTCAGTCAGTATTTATTTTAAATTTTTCCTTAGAAATAATAAAAGGTTTTGTCTATATATGAAAGACTGACAAGTCCATTTTCAGATATTTAGCTTGGTAACAGTTAAAAATCAGTACAATTTTGATCGTTAAAATATGTTTTACCGTACAGTTTACCACATATCTGACACTATAATTAAAACGTCATTTGATATAGCCGTGTCAATTATGCCATTCATTTGCACAGACTGTACATAGTGTATCGTATAACATTCTTTTATCTTAATTGCTATAATTAAGTGCATAACACCTTGTACTATTTTAACAGTAAAACTGTATCGAAAAATGTACCACACACCTCCCTACCCAAAAACTATAAAGAGAGGGTTTTTTTTGTTGTTGTCTTTTAATCTATAAAAATAACATATATCCTTACATATTACTTATTAATCATAAGTGTTGATAGTTATGGTATATTGATGAAATATACAGTTGAACTATTAATGACATTTTAATGACCATAAACTATGCAGCGCTTTGTACAGTATATTTGTAAGCCCAGCGACTTATTTCGTAATACATATATACACATGTTGTACATACAATAAATAAAAGGTCAATCCAAAACCAAGCTTGAGAACATGTTAAATTATTATAATATATACTGTACAGTGAAATTTAAATATACCTAAATCTAGATATAAACTAGATTTCTACTTTTCACATGTTGGAAGGAATATAATGGACTTAGAAATCTATAACTTAAAACAAAATCTTCATTTAAATCGAACACTTCTGTTTAGATCTATCTTTGTATTTTCATGACTATTTTTTTGGTAAAATATGTGTTTGGCATTAGTTTAAACTTTATTTATTCAATAAATTGTACATAAATGACATTTACAAACATTGCACAACAATGTAATTCAGACAAGTAACATAATCACGCCCGTTTAACTCACAACGAGTGAAAAATGTCCATCGGTAAAAATGTTGTGAGCAACTTCCGTTCCTCGTTGTGAGCACCCATCTAGGACGTGTGACACGATAAACAAGGTGAGTTTTTCATAATTTTTGAAGATTACAGACATTTATGTAAAAATATCGGAATGCAGTTAGCTAGCGATGTGTTTTCCGAGTATGCGCATGTAAAGATATTGCCTGTTGGTCGACAATTTGATGGAAATACCGTGCGACGCAGTCACTTGGGGTAGCTGGAAAACTGGAGACAACTTCTCTCCGGACCAAATTTAACATTGAAAAACGTCGATTCTGGTGACGTTTTGTGCATTCTAACCTAAAACAGATGCCCACAAGACTTCAGCGTAAATTATTACATGAAAGTCTTCATATAAAGGAAGATATACCCTTTTTTGCTTTAATCCTCGTTGTGAGCACCATAACCTCGTTGTGAGCAAGACAAGCGCAGTGCGTGTCTGGTTTTTATATGTAATTCAAGTGGGGAGAATACAATTTTCAATCTACCAAAAGCAATCAAAACGTTTTTGCACAATAGTTTCTCTTTGCAATAGTTCTTCTTTGTCTACATAACTTGGCCAGTCTAACATGAATAAAAATCAGGATAAATACATGCATGTTTATATCACACAGACTGCCCAAACTCTGGCAATACGAAGTATATGCAATTAAATACATAATTAACCTCCCCTTATTAGTTCACCACCATTTGCACAAACAGCAAAACATCTGCAAAATTGTAGGTATAAGCAGTTTTTTTGTTTACCATTATCTATTAAGCTAAGAATATACTAGTGAAGTGTTAAAAGTTACAATACACAAAATAAGTAATCCTCCTCGAAAAACGATAGTCGCACAATAACAGATTCAAATAGTTCTCAGCGTTTGTTTGCTCTGTACACGAGCATTTTTCATGATTTTAATAGCACTGTCTTTCCTAGAAAGCTCATGACAGTCTGTGTTTGACATTTAAATAGCATTTTCATCATGAAATAGTGGCATTTTAAGAAATCTTCTTGACTTCTTAGGTGTTTCACCACTGGTAGAATTTTGGGTTAGCTAATTTTACAGTGTGTTTAACTGAAAATAATGTTTTTGCAAGAGACATGACCAAAACTTTTCTTTTGATTTTTATGCATCACTGACAGTTTTTCTAGTAGTTCTAATCTTTTTCAGACCAGGGCAAGTACATACTTGATGCCTCACTTCGGTCTCTCCTTGAACGACCCCATGTCCAATCACTGAAAAAAAAATAGTACTGCAGTTGGAAGGCCTTGTCCAAAGAGGTGTTGTGCCTAATTATGAATTAAATTGATTTACTAATAAGGACATTATGGCCAATCTTAAATGTTTTTGGACAATTTTACCTTCAAGGTAAAGGCCATTCAGGGGTCAAGGAAAAAAATACAGGCCCGTAGGAAGGTCTTGTGCTAAGGGATGTTGTGTTCAAATATGAATCAAATCCGTTTACTAATGAGGAAGTTATGGCCAATGTTAAAGTTTTCGGACGGATTGACGGACGGACAGTTCAAAACTAATATGCCTCCCTTCGGGATATGCACAACGTCTTGCAAAGAAATGCTGCTGTGCAAAAACGTTTTAATTGCTTTGGTAGATTGAAAATTATATTTTCACCATCTTTTGTTTTGGGTTTTACGTCACATCGACACAGTATAGGTCATATGGCGACGTTCCAGCTTTACTGGTGAAGGAAGACCTCAGGTGCCCTTCCGTGCATTATTTCTCATTAGTAGAACCACCGACGTCCCGTAAGCTAGCTGGATAGGTTCCTCACATGAAAGAATCCAAAGTCCCTGTCGGGATTTGAACCCAAAGAGGTGAGGGGCAAGTGGTTTGAAGTCAACGACCTTAACCACTCAGCTACGGACGCCCCCTTTTTCACCATCTGAATAACATATTTAAACCAGACACGCACTGCGCTTGTCTTGCTCACAACGAGGTTATGGTGCTCACAACGAGGATTAAAGCAAATAAGGGTATATCTTCGTTTCTATGAAGACTTTCATGTAATAATTTACGCTGAAGACTTGCGGGCATCTGTTTAAGGTTAGATTGCACAAAACTTCACCAAAATCGACGTTTTCAATGTTAAATTTGGTCCGGAGAGAAGTTGTCTCCAGTTTTCCAGCTACCCCGAGTGACTGCGTCGCACGGTATTTCCATCAAATTGTCGACCAATAGGCAATATCTTTACATGTGCATACTCGGAAAACACATCGCTAGCTAACTGCATTCCGATATTTTTACATAAATGTCCGTAATCTTTAAAAAATATGAAAAACTCACCTTGTTTATCGTGTCAAACGTCCTAGACGGGTGCTCACAACGAGGAACGGAAGTTGCTCACAACATTTTAACCGATGGACATTTTTCACTCGTTGTGAGTTAAACGGGCGTGATAATACTTATATCAATTCCTTTCCAGTGTGTTGGCATGGAAAATGAAACTAACTATTTATAATTTGTTGTATTAAAGTTGATTACATGTTAATTAGCTCTACAGTCGCAGGTGTTAGACACTTATTTTAAAGTGTAAGTTTGTCCTATTATATATAATTGTATAGATATATTTCATTTTATAATTACCTATCTATGGGGTATCTGGAACAAGTCGTTGATATCCATTCCCTTCATTGAGCAATGCCGTGGGGGATAATTTCTCCGTAAACTGTTGTTTCTCTCGTCTCTTCCTCCGTGCTTCGTTGTTTCTTACCCGAACCTCGTCTTGCATCACTTTTGTGACGTCATCATCCGAGCACTGTTCATATCCGGTATTAACTATTCCCGTCTGAGTCGTTTGAATTCCACTTTCCACCGGATAAAGTTTGTGAATATCTGATACCCTGTCTTCAAACTTGCAGTCTGAAGGTGTGAGCACTTCTTCAGGAACACTTTTGATTTCTCGTTTACAATCCAAACTTAGCAAATCTTTGTCAGTCAATAAATTATTGCTGAAATTTTCGTGGAGCAGGTTTTGTTTAAATTTCCCGCTCTTTTTGTTTTTCCGAGTGGATAATGAAGAAACTGAAAGATTGTCAAACGACATTGCATCTGATTTTGTAATGTCACCACAGCTGTCGCAGCTTAGCACACTTTGTCTTCCATCAATATTGCTGTCCGTGAAAGATACCTGGCTTGAACAACTTGAACCCGGCCGAACGGGTCCAGAAACTAAAGATTTAATGGCCGCAATAGGTGCCAGCCTAGGTGGTGGCCGAGGAGGAACACCCACTATTGAGGTCACTGATGTAATACTTTGAGTGTCTATATTTTTCTCTTTGCGTCGTTTTTTCTTTCGTCTGGGCAAAGGCGATTCAACAACAGTGTTCAATATCTTACCTGCAGACTTTTTAGGGGACTTTGTTATATTTTCTGTACATTCCACATTTTCGTCTACAAAGCAAGTTTTAATTTCTTTACTTTCAGGATCTATATCCCCCTTCACTGCATTGTCTTGAATTGGAAAATCAGCATATATATCAGGCTCATCGTTCTCTACTATAGTTTTAGGGGTTTGTGACACAAATAGATCTGCCCCATCCATAATCTCAGTTTGAAGCTTGTCATGTGTATTGTGCAAAATTAATTTCTCACTGGGTACTGAAATCGATTTTTTTTTTCCTGTTTTGCATTATTTAAATGACTTAAATTGCCCCGAATCCCCCTCTGACGTAAAAACCCAACGTGCAAACGTTGCTTTTCAAAATTCTGTACCTTGTCCCGCCCTCTGGTTGGGAAAAAATTTTTCGGCCCGTTAGTTTTTTCCTCATTTTTTTCTCACTAAATTTTGGGTGTGAAAAGAGAAAATAAAGTCGTTTCCGGAATCATAATCATGGTGTATTTTTCTTGTTGTTAATGTTGTAGTAAAACCTATGACGTCACTTTTTTCTTTCCCAGTTTCTCTGTTATTGCTTTTCTGTTTGGTTTCCCTTTTCCCCGTGTCCTATTTCAGTCCGGATTCACGCCTTTTGACGTTGCGAACAATTCTGGTACGTGGAAAACCCTCTGTTCTCTTGCTGTTATATTGGCTTCTTTTTCTTTTAGTTTTTCTTCTCTTATTTTCTTTTCTAATCTTATCTTTTCATTTTCGTTTTTCTTTAAAGATTCATCACCTATTGAATTATTTTTACGGCATAGAATGATATCCTTAAAACTGTTCCAAAGGTCTTTACTCCATGTGAAAGAGGCAACTGGAAGAGCCATAGCATAGCAAAACCGTAACCATAGTAACACAAGATCGACGTACCAAACGTATCTCAAATCCTCCCTCTTTAAGCTATCAAGTTCTGAACTATTCTGAAGTTGTTTGAAGTATGACGTCAGAACATGAGGCGCTTCAAGAAGAAGCCAGGCAATACAAATTGTACCAGTCAAATTAGCATGCCGGAAGTCTTGCATAATCCGTGGCTCTTCTGCAGATTTATCATTGTAATTCCGTTGTGCAATTATGTTCCGGTTGACAATTCTGTCGGTGTAACCCGTTCTTATAATTTTCACGAAAAAGACTACCATTAAAACAAAAGGCACGATAAAGCAAAGTACAGCACTAAAAGTTGTATATACCACGGATGTGTCTTAATATGGCAAAAAAAACAATGTAAGTTTTCAATTGTTGGAAAAACTCCTATGGCAATGGGGAACGCGAACGAAAAAAAGACTGCACCCCCGTGAAAAAAATTACCCAATTCTTGGTTTATACCCCCCCTGCTCGTAGCTTCCCCTTTTACGCAGGGTATAAAGATCTGCGGGCCCGATCGTCAAACTTAGAATCGTCTGTATAGAAATCAAGTTCAAACAAAATGAACTAAGTCGACAGGCTAAATCGCCAAATTGCCACTTGTTTATAATACTTGATGCCAATAGAACTGACATGTTTAATACACACTCGCAGATATTTATTACGGCTAAATGGATCACAAAAATAAAGAATGCTATTGAGCGGAACTTCCTTGATTGACAAACAGTTATGATTAGAAACAAATTTCCCAAAAATCCAAACGAAATGAAAACCGAAAGAAACACTATTCTTGGAGTCGGTGATTCTATCCATTCTTCCGAATCGTCGTCGTCGGATATTTCTTTTGCCGTCGTATTTACCACTGAACTCACTGTGGAAACTGACGTCGTCATTTTTCCTCTTAAGTTTTAACTGATTTTAAAATTTTAAGTCTTCATTAATTAAATATTACATACTTCTTCGTGTTTAAACATTTCCCACGTTCTTGTTATAATCATATAAAACCTATAATTCGTTATGTGGGAACTATATCCGATTTATAGTCTATTGATATAAAATTCCCCTCAATTAGACTTGACATAATTTGCTGACATTTCAGAACAATTTTATTCAATACATTTCGTTCCAATCGTTTACTTTACCGATCAATAAGTATAGATATTGCATACCCGCGGTATCACTGAACTATTGAACACTGAATATGGTACCATTAGTTTGGGGACTGTCCTGAAACAAATAGCGTTGTTATATACGTCTTAATTAGGTATTAAAGCAGTTGTTTAATTGTTTTATAATTAACACAATTTTTTTGATAATTCATTAAGGTCATACCAAATTTCAAAGAATGGTGTTCGTTATTTTCCTACATATAGCCGGTGGTTACCTTTAAATCCAATCGGTACACTTCGGCTATTATTCATAATAACTTCTTGGAGTAGTTCTGTCACGTGGTGTCAGATGTAAACAATTAACAGAGGGTGTAATCTTTGATAATGTATATCAAATCTATAATGTTTGACATCCAAAGAAAAAGAAAGTATATTTCAGTCAAATTATGACTGAAAAAATGTCTGACAATCATATTAAATTTTAAAATGCCCACTTATTATAATAATAATATAATTATAACCATGTCCGAATTAATTTCAACAGTTAGACTTCTTGTACTTTCGTGTGTTTTTACAAGCATAACAATTTATAAAAATAGTATTCTGTTTACTTTTATCTCTACAAATGTACTTAATTCAGGTTAACTTTTATGAATTTAATCAACTCCTAGCATTAAGTTACTTTTTGTGTGCATGTTGAATTCAGTTTCTTATGTTCTGTGTATTCTTACTATTGTGTTCGCAAAGCATCTTCTAGGCTCTTTCCGCCAAACTTCGGAAAAGAACGGATAAGTCCGTACAGTACAGTACGCAATACAGTACAGTACAATACAAAATACTATATTACAATAAACAATCCAATATAAAATTAACAGGTTAATTGCGTTCAGACACCCTTTTATTAACCGGGAGAAAAAGCATTATAACTGAAATGTGTACATGGACAACATTTTGGCGGACATATTTATTTTATTTACATTATGATTTAGAAAATGTAGATAAATACTAACCAAAGAGTTTCGATCAATTATCACTTGTAAAGAAATAATGAAGTAAATATCAGGTTTAATGTTTTAAACTATTGAAAGTGCCACGTGACAATCGACATGTATTGGGTTATCGGACAAGTGATTTATACAAATAGTTCAGCGAGACTTTACCATTCCTATATGGGACCTGTCGATACTTGTGAAATATTGGAAAGGTAGGTAAATCAATGAAGTGTGCCTCATAATCTATTTTATTGAGTTGTGTAAGTACTGACGAGTGTTTTGAAGTGAAATCTCTTTTACCTTTACCAGGATTATATATTACACTTAACCTTTTGGTTTTACTAATATTGTAAAAGTAATGTTGTAATTACAATCCAAACAGAACCACTTTGATGTTTAAAAGATTAACGATTTAATCAAATTCGTACCCGGAGTCCATACAGAAAATTTCTTTTAGCTAAAGTGTATATTAAAAAGATATGTAAAAATAAGTCCGAGAAGGACTGTCAATCCATTGCGATCTTTTATTCTTTCTCCTTACGTTTTCTTTAAAATCTAAATGTTTATTTTATTTCAAGCATGGGGTTAATATTTAGCTCAATGTCATTATGGTGTCTTATAACATTTGTTCAAACATTTCATAGAATATTTGTTGTTATTCTATTAATTCAAACAGTGCCAGTCTGTCAGTTGATCCATCGCCGCTAAAGTCGAGCCTGTCGCGGTAAATCAGTCAATGTTCAAATGCAATGACGGTTGATGATGATGATGATGATGATGGTGGTGGTGGTTGTTATGATGTAATGATGATGATGAAGTCAATGCTTAAAGGCCCATTATGTCTCAGAAATACTATCATTTTTTTGCGTTAACGTTTGCAGTACATATTGAACATATTCTTTGATGTTAAGAAGTTGTTTTAGAAGAATATAAAATTTCACTTAAGTGTTGTTACATCCTTAATTACAACATACAGGATCCATCGTCTGAATTTTAGAGATTGTAAGCGTTTTTATTTTTACCGGTTTGGAGTCTTGTTTCAAAGCGTTAAGTACCGTGAACTAAGAGGAGCACAGTATACATGTATTTAGGTGTACTAGAGTTCGCATGTATCACATTCATATAAACACATTACTCTATCATATAAATATATGACAATTTGTATCATGAGCAAACTCAATCAAAATAGTTTTGTGTATCCACAATAATCATTACAGTCGTAATATTCATCATCAAGCAAATATTCACACTGAGGGCGGTAAACATTAAATTAATGTAACCTATGTGAATACTTTATTGTATGATTAAATATATATGCAACACGTTAATTGTGAAGATTGATGTAAATTAGTATTTTCAACATGCGTTCTAATTGTCAACCAAATACAGAATGAACTATAAATTTAGAGAAGAAAAGGGACATTTACCGCCAATGATATATGCGAGCAATAGACAGTTGTTTATTGTCTACGTAAACTATAGATGAAAAGGCTAGGGTAATAATGGTCAATTTCATTTAACCATTTTAGTTCAAAATAAACAATAAAGAAAAGGCAGTGCTGCATTTTCCGCTGAGCACTTTCCATCGAACCGAGGCTGCAACATTACACCAATTTTTCGTTTTAGACGTTATGTAAGGTTTTCATTTTTTTGACCATTTTCATGTTCAAAATATACCCAAATCTCTGGTTTGCAGGTAATTTTTTTTTCTTTATAGGATAACAAGGTAGACTTACTGAGATGAGCGGTTACAATAGAATATAGTCCCATATGTATGTAAAGGGGATATGTTTGCAAAGCAGCTCTCTTGACTGATAACAATAAAACTTACAATTGTTATAAATATAACAAATTCTTTATTTAAAGAAAAAATAATTCAAAATGTTACTTTTAGCAAGGGCTTCAAAGAATTTGCAACATGAGAAAATAGACATATCAAAAGTAACAAAAGAAATCATTACATTTGGTACATCTTCATCTTATCCATGCAATACAAGAGACAACTATATCATATTTGGATACCAGGTACATGTATATATTGTTTATAAATTATCTCTTGTCAATAATAATTGTTCAAAATGTAACTTAAACAATATGTAAGACTTGTAAAATTTCTTATTGTGAAGGAATATTAATTGTTCCATAATTCCATACTAGAGTAAAAAAAAATCGTCCGTTTCAAATTATTCGTTTTGATCGTTAACATATAAATGCACAATGCCTATTTTCTGTTTTTATCTTAGTATGTTAAACGGAGTTAAATCAGAAACATAATATAATTATATATTCTGTCGGTACTTTATTCAGCGCAAAATATATGTACACCATAATCACAGAAAAAGAAATTTCATCTTGATGGAGAAAAGCTATCCAGAATTTCAAGCGAATTAGTTTTCTTTAAAACATTCTTGCGTTTTTAAGGCTTTAAGCTTTTCGTAACTCAATTTTGGACCAAGTAACACGTACAGCCATAGGGAATCAAAAATCGGGATCATGCAGTTAAGCGATATATAGAAAAAAAAAGAGAAAAAAAAGTGTGTTAAGTCTATATAACGTAACTGTGTTAATTGATCGGATATGCAAGTTATAGTTATGGTATTGTGTCTGGTCGACCTATCTCGTGGTCACAAAATATATACTTTTATCTACTTTGAACTTTTTCAATTTTCCTCTTTGGGTCCTTCTACTCTTAAATCAGTATCACTGGAAGCTTTCATATTTATATGAATTTTACAAATTCAGCTCATTTCAGTTTCTTTCCGAATTAAAATAAATGTCAAGATTATATTTTAATAAGGAATACATGTCTCTGCTGTATTAAAATGAATTACTTACCTGGAACTGCAAGTTTAATTGAAGAAATTGATAGTAAGTTGTGACATCACTGTAGTAGTATTCGGACAACAAATAATTTGGACACTAGTATTTTAAATTGACTTGGATTAACTTATTTATCTTGGCTACAGACTTGTGGTCGTTAACGATTTTAAAGCATGTCTCCTATCTCTTAAAATTATTGGCAATCTGAATCAACTGAGCAACAGAAGCATGTTTTACTGCAGTTTTACAAAGTCATAATTTTTGTAACAACATGCTAGCATTAGGCAAAATCTTGTGTCGCAATCAGGTCATTTGAAGGTGATTCAAAATTAATGGAACATTAATGACAATATCTGCAGTGCAGGAATTGTCCTTTATGAAAAAATGTTTTTGCCAATAACAACATGATTTCGAGGTTATATTATTTCATCAGTTATCATCTTAACTCCTTTTGATCTTTTAAAGCTTCCCGAAAAATTTCGGGGGAGCATATAGTCGCCATGTTGTCTGTCAATCAGTCTGTCAGTCCGTACGTACGTACAGACATTCGTCCCGAATTCGTGTCCAGCCCATAACTTCGTTATTTGAAGTCGGATTTTACAATTATTTCACAGATATGATCACCATATTGAGACGACATGTCGCGCACAGCTTTGGGTTGTTTTTACACTTTGAACTTTGTCTGTGACATAACTCTGACACTACAAGAGGTATACCTTCCTGTGTCCAAAACCTTTTCGGGGAGCATCACCCGGTTCACAGGAATTTGAAATTTAATCAATACATCACAAAATATACGTATATTAGTGATATAGCCCTTATCTCTATATAAAAAACAGATAAGGGTTATATCACTAATATACGTATGTTTTGTGATGTATTGATTAAATTTCAACTTCCTGTGCCAGGTTTAGCAGGCTCTTAATTGTTTAAATGTAACAATCTTAACCTTGTAAATTGCAAACAATAAAATAAGGAATAATAATGGTTTGATATGATTGATTCATTTATTTTGTTCTGTTTTTTATTGTAGAGAAATTGTTAGTTGTGTTAAGAGATGGAAGAACTTTGATTGGAATTTTACGCAGCATAGATCAGTTTGGTATGTAGAAAGTAATCAACAAATGAGCCGCGTCACGACAAAACCAACATAGTGCGTTTGCGACCAGCATGAATCCAGACCAGCCTGCGCATCCACGCAGTCTGATCAGGATCCATGCTGTTCACTTACCGACTCTATTACAAGAGGAGAAACTGACAGCAAACAGCATGGATCCTGATCAGACTGTGCGGATGCTCAGGCTGGTCTGGATCCAGGCTGGTCGCTAACCCACTATGTTGGTTCTGTCGTGACGCGGCTCAATTATGTTTTCATATTTTGATTTTTTGTGATCATTATCAAACATCAGTGATACTGCTATACTTAACTTTATGCATGTGTTGTTCTACATCCCGTTCTTGTTTACTTACTTTATACTTTGTGTAAACCTGAAGAAAATCTATTCAGGATTTAGAAAATTGTTATACAAACTTAAACTCTGTTTTTTTCTTTATTAAAGTTGTTTGATTTGAGAAAAAAACAAAAACAATTGAGCTATTTTAATATTTGATTTTGCCTAGGACTGGGGTTAATTACAAATATACAGAGTAAATATAAGATGTGAGTTATGTTATATTTCAGCAAATTTAGTACTTCATAGAACAATAGAAAGAATACATGTCGGCAGGAAATATGGAGATATACCTAGAGGAATCTTCATTGTTAGAGGAGAGAATGTTGTACTACTGGGAGAAGTGGTAAGATTGGCTTATAATGAAAACTGTTTATTTTCCTTAATTTTTTATGGTCCCCGAAAAATTTTGGGGGAGCATATAGTCGGCGCCTTGTCCGTCCGTCTGTCTGTCCGTTGTCTTGTCCGGAGCATAACTTGAAAACCCTTGAAGATAATTTGTTCAAACTTCATACAGTGGTAGAGGGCATTGAGGGGGAGTGCAGTGTCAAAGAACCATATCTCTTTTTTGTCCGGTTTTTGAATTATCTCCCCTTATAGAAAAATCTTGTCCGGGACATAACTCTAAAACTATAAGAGATATCAACTTGAAACTTTGTACGTGAATAGATCTCAATGGGTAGATGTGCAGTGCATAAGAACAATAACTCTTTTTGTCCTAATTTTGGAGTTATTGCCCTTTGTTAATTTTAACACTTTGAACTTTGTCCGGGACATATCTCTAAAACTATAAGAGATATCAAGATGAAACATTGTAGGTAGGTAGATCTCATTGAGTTAAAGTGCAGTGCAAAAGAACCATAACTCAGTTAAGCCTCATTTTTGAATTATCCCCCCTTTTAGAAAAATCTTGTCCAGGACATAGCTGTAAAACTATAAGAGATATCAACATGAAACTTTGTAGGTAGATATATCTCATTGGTAGATGTGCAGTGTACAAGAATCATAACTCTGCCTTGCCTAATTCTGGAGTTATTGCCCTTTGTTTATTTTTACTTTTTGAAGTTGTCCTGGACATAACTCGGAAACGATAAGAGATATCAACAAGAAACTTTGTAGGTTGATAGATCACATTGATTAGAAGTGTAGTGCAAGGAACAGTAACTCTGCCTTGCCTAATTTTGGAACTATTGCACTTTGAACTTTTTCCAGGGACATAACTCTGAAACTACAAGAGGTGTACTTTCCTGTGTCCAAAACCTATTCTGGGAGCATCACCCTGCTCAAACCAGGCTCTTGTTTGAATATTCCTCAAAATTTCATTCCACAGGCCCTTAAATTTGTGTCCATTTGATCAAAAAGCAACGATATTGTAAAGTTTCAAATATTTTATGGATAAGAATGGCTTATGAAGTGTTGTTTGTAGAGTGACAGATTATAGGAATCCTATGGTATTAAAAGATTTGTCCCCTCATATTTGGTATCAATATCATCTGAGACATAATATATAATGGAACAAGCAACTTCCGACAAGATTTGAGTGGTCTTATGTTGGCATCCAGTTAAAAGCTGATAGACCAATAGGTTTTGTTTTTGAATCATTTACAAATTGTTTTAATGATGTTATGATTAAGAATTACATTGATAAGTCATTGATTAATTTATTTCCTCTAGAATTTAAATTGAAATATGATTTTACATAATGCATTTTTTTCACAGGATGTTGAGAATGAAAATAGTTTACCTTTAGATGAAGTACCAATAGATGAGATTTTAGAAATGCAGAGGGAAGAACAGATACAGAAACAGTTAGAGGAGGAAAGAAAGAGGAAGGCATTGATAGATCGAGGAATGAACCCAGTTAGTGAATACACAGATGATTTATATTAAACAACACAACAAGGACTTAGTGTAACAATTATGTTAAAAACCACCTAATGTGTTAAGATTGGATAATGGTTAGTGTCATTGTGTTGCAAATGAATGAATAGATTTTGAGTAAGTTTAGCGACTGCTATGTTGCTGATTGAGTTAATTATGTGATAAACTTAGAATATGTTTATCATTTGTTGATTTTGGAACATTTTTTGATATGCCATTTATGAATATGATCTGACAAACTAAGAAATTGTGTATCATGTTGGAAAAAAAGGAAATTGTTATTTTTATGTTGATCTTTTGAAATGTTTATCATATGTTTATCTAGATGGGTTTGCCATGTGATAAACTGTAAAAATATCTTGTTTTGTGGCAAACTATGCATTGGTTAATCATTTCACTATTACCACCTTTTATATCTGAAATGGATTGGTCCATTCTTCATTCTTAACAAGACACCATATTTTGGGAAAATTTCAATACAAATGTATATTTATTAACTAAATAGTGACAGCTGCAGAAAATGACCTGTTGCTTTGTAAAATAAGTTGCTGTTAGCAGTGTGAGGGTTAAGGAGTTGTCTTGAAATTTCTTCTTATAAACTATGATTTAGATTTTTTTTTCAACTAGAATATAGGTATTTAATGTGATGAACAAGAAAATGGTTTATACATGTGACAAACTTATAGTTATGTGATTAATACAGACATGGTTTGTAATGTGTTTAACTGGAAATAATCTATCACTGTATGTTAAACTGAACTGTTCTTTATCTTGTGAGAGAGTGTAGGTCAAAACCCCTCCAGGACAAAAGCCCTCCCGTCTTTTGTCCGCCCAGTCATTTTTGAGTGAGGGCTTTTGTCCGCCCTGAGGGCTTTTGTCTGCTTTTTCATTTTTGGACGCGAGGGCTTTTGTCCGTTTTCCCTTGTGAGATATGTCATAAATATATTGTGTTTATCATGTCACTTAACAGAGTTTTAGTGAATTTACATGACTGCATTCATAATTTATTGCTGGGCATTTTTTTATAAAGATACTTTTTTGCTTTAGATATTTTATTGTATAATATAATTACATATAAGCTAAACAGTACATTTGCAAATTTTAGTTCATTAAATCAGAAACATTTATAATATACATCCCTGACTAAGTGCAATAGAATGATTTTTCATCTGCCCTATGAAAGATGGCTTTTTAAAAAAAAGAAGGTATATTTAACAATGATGAGTAATTTCATAAAGTTGTATTATAAATGTAGATACTTTTATGTATTTATCCAATATTACAGCCATTGTCATGTAACTGTGTTAAGTAGATATTGACGAAAACAAACATTATAATCTTATTGTAAAATAGGCAAAATTGATGCGTATTATGGATGATTTTTTTATGCATAAACTTTTGTGTCAGTTGCTTTTTTCGAATACCCTTTCTTTGTTATATCACTTGCAAAAAGTAATTGATATATTTTGGAGGGTATCAAAGTTTGTAACAGTTTCATTTTTGTTATCCTGTCATTATGACTTTGTGACTCTCAAAATCTCACAATTTTGTAAATGTTTAGTTAGAACTTTCCAGAAAATTGTATGAAGTAGTAATTTGAATTTCTGGTGCTGAACACTATGGCTCCAATTTAATGCTCGCAAAATTCTGTTTAAAAAATGAAAACTGCCATGTTTTTTTTGTTTTCATTTGCAAACCTTTACATGGTTCAAAAATAAAATACAAGTTAATATTGGTTTTTGCAAGTTTAAATTTCTGTCATCTAGCAGATATTTTCAAGTGCAAGAGAAAGTTCAATATAAGCAGTGATTATTGAAATGATGATTTGCCTACCTGCATATTGGTTATTACATCAAACATATGACATCATAAATAAGTGTGTGTATTTCGGCAAAGTTAAAAACATTTATTAAAAAACATTTTGAAACCTGAGAAAGAAATTTTGATATATGATATGTACATTTTTATTTCAATCAAAATACCAGGGTGGAATAAAAACGTTTGTGCTTTATGTTGAATCGTTCACTGCCTTCTGTATTGACCATAAAATATCCAAAAGTTAATAATACTTAAAGTTTTTAAGTGTCTGGATTTTTTATTTAAAGTTTTTGTTTGTTTGTTTTTTTTCCTGACGAGTAATACATTGTATACAAAGGTATGTACCTTGAATTTTACATCATGACACAAGTGATGTAATTATAACTTAAAAGTGCTACAATTTTGATATGTTGAGAAAAAAAAATATTTGAAATAAAAATTGAGATTACTTCTTGTTATTCAAAACTCTATATTTTCCATCAAAATAGATTTGGGTTGAACATTAACTGGCATGTACAGCTAGTTCAATCGTTGTTAAAAAAGGGTGATAACTCTGTAAACTTCCTTTCGGAATTGCCCAATCAAAGGGGCACATAGATATTGCTACTGCATGGAGAGGCTATCATTGGTTTTATAAAAAGTTTAAAGAAAGCGTGGAGAATATCAGGTGATGATGCACATGCATCCAGAAATGTTAACTCTAAACACAATGTGCTAAGATTAGCTAAAAATGTACAAGTTCACACAAATGACGGATTCACTGAAAATTTAACTTTATTTTAAGTTTTGGTGTTTCAAGTATGTTGTACCTGCAATACCTACAGCAAAGCTTCAATACAAAAATCATTTACAGGGCGAAGACTTATAAATTAATACTTATATTTGCAGAATTATTTGCCCTTTTGAAACTTAAAGCTTAGAAATTTTGGTTCAAGGTCTTAAGAACTATCAAAGATATTTACTTGAAACTTTACACATTTACTTAGGGTCATAAGTGAAGGTCACATCTCTAGATCCATTACTCTGCCATGTATTTTGACTGAATTATGCTCCCTTTTGTACTAAAAAAATCTCCTTTTCTTGGTTAAGTTTTACATGCAAGTTTTACATATCTCTGAAACTATTAAAGATACAAACTTGAAACTTCAAATGTATATTTGTGGTCATAAATAATGATCACTGAACAGCACTCATATCTGTGTCATGTATTAAACTGATTTATCTCCCCCTTTTTTACTTAGACTCTTGGTAAATGTTTACATGTAAGTTTTACATATCTCAATAACTATCAGAGATTTTGATTTGAAACTTCACATATGCATGAAGTGTCATAATTGTATGTCACTGACCAAGTTCCATAACTCTATCTTGCATTTAGGCTGATTTATCTTCCCTTTTCTACTTAGTCTCTTGGTTAATGTTTACATGCAAGTTTAACTTATCTCAACTAGAACTGCCACTGTCATGGCGTGAATACCCCCGCATACCACTTTGTCAGAAGCTTTTTTTAAGTCAAGGCCCCTGTGACCTTGAACTTTGACCCAGTGACCTCAAAATCCATAGGGGTCATCTACTAACCTCCATGCCAAATATGAAGACTGTGGGTCAAAGGAATCTCAAGTTATTGGGCGGACAAGCTTTTTTTTAGTCAAGGACCCTGTGACCTTGACCTTTGACCCAGTGACCTCAAAATCAATAGGAATCATTTACTAATCATAACTAACCTCCAGGCCAAATATGAAGACTGTGGGTCAAAGGAATCTCAAGTTATTTGGTGGAAAAGCTTTTTAAAGTCAAGGCCCCTGTTGACTTGGCCTTTGACCCAGTGACCCCAAAATCAATAGCATCTACTTATCATGACTAACCTCCATGCCAAATATGAAGACTGTCGGTCAAAGGAATCTCAAGTAATTGGGCAGACAATGTTTTTTTAGTCAAGGCCCCTGTGACCTTGACCTTTGACCCAGTGACCTAAAATCAATAGGGGTCATCTAATAATCAGGACTAACCTCCATGCCAAATATGAAGACTGTGGGTCAAAGTAATCTCAAGTTATTGGGCGGACAAGGTTTTTTCAGTCAAGGCCCCTGTGACCTTGACCTTTGACCCAGTGACCTCAAAATCAATAGGGGTCATCTACTAATCATGACTAACCTCCATGCCAAATATGAAGACTGTGTGCCAAAAGGAATCTCAAGTTATTGGGCAGCCAAGGAAAAACAGACGGACGGACATCCGGACGGACAAGCTGATTCCAGTATATCCCCCTTACAACTTCGTTGTGCGGGGGTATAATAACTATTAAAGATATTTATTTAAAACTTCACATGCATTTAATGTCATAATTGTAGGTCACTGACCAAGATCCATAATTCTATCTTGCATTTAGGCCGACTTATCTCCCCTTTTTCAACTTAGAAATTCATGGTAAAGTTTTACTTGTTAGCCGTTATCTTCATAACTACTGAAGGGTTTGTGCCTTTTTTGGGACAATTCTATGCATTCATAATAATAAGGCAGTGATTTACTTGATAAAACATCTATATAACAAGCCTTTGTACCTTTTCGGTCAATTTATGTATTCATAGGTAAGCATTATTATACTCAATAAAACACCTTTGTGACAACTTTTTCAAATAGTCAAGCCTTACTGTCCTCCGACAGTTCTTGTTAATTGAAGGGCCACAACTCTGCCAAAAATCATTCAAGCGGAAAACCCATGTAATATGCACAAGTACCTGAGCAATCAATTAATCCTGTAAAATGTCATTGAAATTGCCTTATTAGTATAAGAGGGGTAGACAAACTTTAAAATAAAATTAATTAAAGGGCCATAGCTCTGACAAAAATCAATGAAACAAAAAAAGCTGATGATATGCACAACAAGACTTGGTACTGACCATTCCTGTAAAGTTCGGATGAAATTGCACCAGTGGTTTTTATGTAGTCCAGACAAGATTCTGTTAGCTGGCAATGCAAAAAAATAACACCTTTTTTTATTCAAGGGCAATAACTCCACCAAAAATCATTCAACTGGAAAACCTGTGTTATATGTGCAAGTAGAGATCACTACCCTGTAAAAAGTGCTTAAAAAGTAGAAGCGCGGAAAAACTTAAAAAATAAAAATCATTAAAGGGCCATAACTCTGACAAAAATCATTCAAACCTGAAAATGCAAATGATATGCATAACTAGACTTGGTACTGATTATTCCTGTTAAGTTTGGATGAAATAGCACAAGTAGTTTTTGAGGAGTAGTCCGGACATGTTTTGTGACAGAAGGCAGTCAGACAGACAGATGACAGAGAAGTGATCCCTATATGTCGCCACCACTCCAAAGAGGTGACAGAAAAATGACAAACTAAAACTGGAATGCAGAACTGCTTTATTTGATATCTTTGTATGAAAACACATATTGCACTGTGTGATTCACATCATCTTAAAACTAAACATTTACACAAATGGCTGGTCACAGTATACCAACACATATACACAAATGATTTCAGGACACAGTCTATTTCAACATTTACACAGACACAGTCTTCCTAAACATTTACACAAAAATGATGGTTTGGCACAGTCTGCCTGTACAATTACACAAATGATTGCTGGACACAGTCTAATTCAACATTTATATATAAAACACAGCAGAACACAGTCAAGCTCAAAATTTACATAAAACAATAGCAGGACACAGTCTGGCTAAATATTTTCCCAAACAGAAGCATGACACAGTCTAGATAAATGCTTACTCAATGACTGCATTAACAGTGTAATACCCAAATATCTATTGTACCTTTTTATAAAATAAACTATATGCAATTACATAAATAATTATGACAAGTAAGTTTGTAGGACCCAGATGTATTTGCTTTAAAAATTCTTCTATATGCTACATAAGAACAAGTTTTGTTGTTAATCCCATATACTCTCAACTCGACTACAATAAATGATTTTCCTTTCAAGTTTCTCGTGAAAAAATGATTTCAACAGTAAATATAGGCCAGCTATGAGAAATAATGATGACAATAATAGACTTATGCCCTGACAAGTATTATGTGAAAGAAGTGTGATATTTTAACACAGCTAGAAGTAAAAATTCTATAACATTTATGATTTTCCATCTGACTTATACATTATAAGAGTGTACGGAAACTGTTTATAATTTGTACTCTATGCCAAATGTTTGTCTGTTTGATTTTTATGCCGACTTTAACATAATTTTTGATCATGTATAGGAAACTAATAATCCAATCCGAATTCTGAACAAGCTCCAGAGACAAATGACTATTAGACTGAATGTTCAAAATCAATTGTCACCTAGAAATTTCCTCTCGCTTGAGAAAATTCTCGAAATCATGGCTAATGAGACTAACATGTAAGTTAGATTTTCAATGATAAACATATTTTAGATTAGGCATCGCATGCACTACTTTGTAAGTCAAACTATGTTCCATTATATCACACTATTAAAAGAAGAATTTTAATATATATACAATATACCCTCCAGTACAGAGGGCCATACCAATTAAATATGAAAACGTTTCAATTAAAAAGTAAGAAATTTTACACATGTGCAAAAACCAAATATTATGTCTTTTTAATCATAAATTGATCAATGTGAATTATGTAACATATTTAAATCAGTGACATAGAATAACTAATATAAAGTATATCTCATTGAATAAAATGCCAGTATTTAACTAATTTTCAAGGGGCAGAAAAATCAATTTTTCTTCTCACATTACATTACATTAAATAAGAATTCAAAGTATTACACAATTATTCAGGTCTGTTGACTAAACTGACAGCTATTCCCACATCAATGATTCTCATGTATTCCTCAATTAGTCTTGGAAAAAATGACAATAAATTACATAACTCTCGAATAACAAGTGACGAAAAAAATGCTAGACACATGTCAACATATGTAGGCATTAGTATAAAACAAAAACATGTATATATATTATATATATATTATATAGTAAGTCTTTAAAGCAAAAAAAGAAAAGTTAAAAGCAAATTGTAATAATAATAAACAACAAATAATATCCAATTAATGAATGGTTTGTTACATAGACAATGATAATGGTAACAATTTTATACAGTAATGGTTATAAAATTTAAACCAGCTTTTACCACAAGTGTATTGAGCCCGGCCAGATTACACATAAGTGCACTTTGACCCGGCTCTATACTGTTGGTTGCTAAATATTTATGTATTTTGATATTGAAATCCCTTGAACGTTAAATGGACTGTTCCAAATTCAAAGCTGGGCAACTCCATTATAAAAATACAGCAAGTTAAAGGTTCACAAGTACTAAAATACAAGTTGTTTCCAATCATAAAGGTTAACAAGTACTAAAACACAAGTTGTTCTTAGTCATAGTTTATACCCTCATTTACGTAAATTCATTTTTGAACAAAAATTGTTCATAAAAGACAAATGGCCCTATCTGTGAACAGATAAGGTGGTTGTGGTGGAATAATTAACTTTAAAGGTCAAGTCAATGTCAAATTAGGGTCAAGGTCATATTAATACACAACTTGCCCTATCTGTTCACAGATAAGAAGGTTGTGGTGGACTAATTACCCTTAAAGGTTAAGTCAAAGCCATTTTGGGTTCAAGGTCATATTTCAATGCGTTTAATTGAAGCTCTTACTAAGAGATATGATGTGTTCAAGTATAAAAGCTGTAACCTATATAATGAAGATCTTACAGCCTGTGTTAAAGTTGTCTACAGAAAGAAAAACCTACTAGACATGATACAGGACAAAATCAATATGGCTGCTGCCAACCTGTGGAAAAATAGCATAAAAATGCATTTTTATTTTATTCAAATTACTTATGAATGATATTAAGGTGTGTATTATAACAGAGCAATCTTTGTTTACAGTTTTTGGAGAAATGAACACAATATATATAATCATAAGATGACCAAAATATATGTTTTCCTCACACTTGTTTAGCTTTATAAATGAACATCATACTTAAAGGCCCATTATGCCTTAGAAAACTGTTATAAATTTTATTTCTAAAAAACTTTTTATCTTTGGAATCTAGTCACTGTTTAAAAAAAAAACCTCATTTGCCTAATACATAACATATCTTTAAATTTGCTTATTTCCCTCTGCTTACAAATGGTATATTTAGTGAATAAGTATATGAATGAAAGTCAAAATACTACGTTGTACTTTGTTTACATTTTCTTACCTTTCCAACACAACACTGCATATTCTGCACTACTTTTTCAGTTGTTGAATACCTAACATTTCTTACATGCTCTCAATGCTCTTAATTCAATAATACAACATTATCAAACACATGTTCGGCATGTCTAAACAAGAGCTGTCCGTAAGACAGCGCGCTCGACTTTTTTATTGCTTGCCAGAACACCTTGGTAAATGACATAATAACATAATTTTTCAAGAAATCTATGCCAAGGAAGCAGTATATTTTTGTACAATCAGCATAATATATAGATTTGACTTTGTATGTGAAAGTATTATAGTTACCTTATAATACAAGTAATAGATAAATTTTATCAATTTATGGTAAAAAGTGAACAAGTGGATAGGAATGAATTTTTTTAGATTTTTTAAGTTTTTTAGTGCTTGCCTATAATACAAAACATTGACAGTTAAGGGCCATAATTCAAATAAAATCTTTTGACAGAATTACCTTCTCCTGGACATGTTTGGGAATCATGATTGTAAACAAGTATTCCAACTTTCAAATTAATATCTCAAACAGTTCAGTCAAAAAGTGGACTGGTACTAAAAACTTAACCAAGATTCTAAGTCGATAAAAGGCCTTAATTTTTAAAACAAATCCTTGACAGAGTTACCTTCTCTTGCGTACAGATGGGGGTAATGATGTGAAATAGCATTAAAAGTTTTCAAAGCAATATCTCAAAGGGTTAAGGCAATAAGTGGATTTTACCCATATTCAATGTATTTTCTAAGTCAAAAAGGGGCATAATTCTGTCAAAAACCCTTGACAGAGTTATGTCCTCTTGTCTGTTGATGAAGGTCGTGATGGTAAACAAGTATGGTCAGTTTCAAAGCAATACCTCCAATGGTTTTGAAATAAAGTGAGGTGGTACAAAAAACTTAACCAAGCTCAATACACTTTCTAAGTCAAAAAAGGGCCATAATTCTGTCAAAAACCTTGACAGAGTTATGTACTCTTGTCTGTAGATGGAGGTTATGATGGTGAACAAGTATGGTAAGTTTCAAAGCCATACTTGTAATACTTGTGAAATAAAGTGGGGTGGTACGAAAAACTTAACCAAGGTGTGACGCCAACGCCGACGCCGGGGCGAGTAGGATAGCTCCCCTTTTCATAGAAAAGTCGAGCTAAAAATTACAAAAATGTGGATTTCTAAAGCATAATGGGCCTTTAAGAAATGAATCAGTCAAATTAGATGTTACAAGTAGGGAAACTAAATCCTTGTTATTTACATCATAAGCTCTTAATATATTCAAGCCTGTACTTAAACTTGCTATCATATAATGTTATCCTCCACACTTGATATTGTAAATTACCTCGTACAATTCACCAGATCAAGAGTGATTAATTTCCTATATAAATACTACATTATAATTATTCTCAGAATAGCAACTCACGTTACACAAGGAAATTATCATGTACTTGTATACAAGTTTGTATTATTTAAGGAAACAAGTATGAAGTGTATTACTATATATAAATTAATTATATCGTAATAAATCAACTTAAAGAGTGTAAAATTGCACTTCAAGCAATTCAGTTAAACAGCATATATGTATATTGTTAAAGTATCACCACTGTTTTAAATGTAATTGAGAAATTTGATAACTAAACATTTATTATATACATGTATATATACATATACAGTGTTGTTAACAGGACACAAATTTTTGTAATAGAAATTTTATGATATAATTATGCACCACTAATTAACAAATTATGCTATATAGTACATCACCTTAATGAAAGGATATATAGTAAAGCTTTGTTTAATGAAGTATTTCTATAAAATTATAAATAGTACAATCGCATCATTTCCATAAATTTTCTCTAAAGAAATGCCAGAGAGCCTTCTTTTGTAAACTAAAGACTGCGGACACATGTATATACCTTTATACACTCTAAAAGCAGATTTAGGCATTTTCGTTCCTTCCAGATTTAGTATAATATCAAAATATAATGCCAACAATAAATCCTTAGACTGCCTTGAAAATGAGGGTGCTTTAAACTGATATAACAGTTTGGAAGCAAATGAATCTTAAATTAAAACATACAGAATTCAGTAAGAATATTTGAATTCACATGCTGCAAATAGTGTTGTAATATCATAGTAATGATTAACATGTCCGTGCAATTCCATTACAGACTTAGAGTTAAGCAAGCTAAAGGTTAACAAGTACTAAAAACACAAGTAGTTTTCAATCATAAAGGTTAACAAGTACTAAAACACAAGTTGTATTCCATCATAAAGGTTAACAAGTACTATTTAAACACAAGTTGTAGTCAATCATATTTTACGGTCACTAATAAAGCTATATACATGTTATCTGGCGTCATTAAGTCAATCAATATATAATTTTTGCTATATAAATACTATAAATTAATTCTTTGTCCACAACTCTTGATTTTTGCACAATATGTACCCTTTAGGCTTATAATGTTCATTGTGTATCATCAACAAGAATAAAAGTTGTCAATACACAGTATATTGTTAAATGATGGCAAGTGTTTTTGCACCTACATTATGTACTTTTTCAATATACATGTATCAAAGATCAGGGCATTTCATTTTGTTTGAAAAAAGTTGGGTCACTTCTTTAAGAAGGTGGGTACCGTATAAGTTAGAAAGGAATGAATACGAAATAACTGAAAGTTGCTGTCAGATGGCCTATAATATGTAACACAGTATTTCACCTAGCTACCAAGTACTATATTGTCCTATATTGTAGCTTGAAGTGAAATCCCTGAAAGTAGTAATATATCAAAGAAGGGGAATATGTCTTAATTTAGCCAATAAAAAAATGGCGAAAAATCCCCACTGCTTACAAATTGTTTATCTCACACATGTTTGTATAATATTGAAGCAGATAATGTAGGTATTTTGAAAGACTGGTGTATTTTATAAAGTTGTCTTTTAAACTATGTTTTTAAGTATGATATCATCATAAATTGTAATTAGATTTAAAGCTATAAGCTTCAATTCTAATTAATGTTTTTTGAAGACTTTTACTTTTTTGATTTGTACTAAAATGTATAATGATAGAGAATTGATATTTCTTACTTTAAAAATTCAATGTCAGACCCGTTTTTAAGTAATTTCTTTTCTAGAGGGCACAATTTTATAAAATAAAAATTGTGATAGAATAAAAGTTATTGTGAAAAATGCAAAATTAAAAAAAAAAAGAAAAGAAAAAACAGTGCAAAAGGTGAAATTGGGCTTGAAATTTCCTATAAAATAATACAAAATGGAATTAAAAGCATGTAACAATGTTTACATTAAATGACATCATTTTGGGCAGATACCCGAAAACTAGTCTCAATTGCAAAGTACATGTACATACAATGTACACTTAAATCTTCAAAGTACATTTCCTTGGTTGAAACAATCAATGACAAATAGTCTTAACAATAATAGTTAAGACATATTCGGTCATTGTTAAAAATAAAAGATACAAATGTAATTAAAACAAATTATCTTATCTACATGTACTACCCCCCAAAAAATAAAGAAAACATGTCTATGACTGTTCTGAATAAAATTAGGACCAATTGATCGGTGTGTACATATTATAACTGGACAGATGTGTACCATAGATATACATCATGTGTACCACAGATGTACATGATGTGTACCATAGATGTACATGATGTGTACCACAGATGTACATCATGTGTACCACAGATGTACATGATGTGTACCATAGATGTACATGATGTGTACCACAGATGTACATGATGTGTACCATAGATGTACATGACGTGTACCACAGATGTACAATGTAACCGTAGGCATTAAAACAACAGCCGTATGCTGTAAACAACCTTAACATCTAACCCTCGTAATCCTCAACTAACTTCCTCCGTTTCCGATGGTGTAACTATCACCTGAATCACAAAACCTTTTGGAATTTTCACATCTTCAATTTTGAGTTTATCATTAAGCATTTTTCCTGAATAGAAAAATCGCTGTTTTGATGGCTCAACTTTTTCTAGTTCGAACAACTTTTTCTTAATCTTAAGCATTGTGTCAGTAGTCCGAACTTTCAATTTTAAGTCTTTGTTCGTTGACGAAAGTCGGAATTTTATCACAGTTTCAATTCCAGGAAGGTTGTTACTGTCCGCTTCCTGGCCGGCCTCGCTTTCGCTTGTGTCCTCAATCAGGTTAGTTGGTGATCCTAACACATAGACTGGTAACTGGTAACGATTTCCTAGTTCATCATAGCAGTCCATTAATGTTCCTGAAAAATCATAGTGGTTGTTTATGAAATGCTTGATTTGTGTGTATACTAAATAATAAAGGAAATTTACTAAATTCTTAATTGTTTGAGTAGGTTATCATGATTATGTCTTGAATATTTTGTAAACAAATCATTTATTAAAGAGAAAATGTTTAATTCTACGTCATAAACAAAAGACAGGCCCAGTAATTAATGTATTATCTATAAGTCATCCTTACAGCAATTATAAACATACATTGTGGGCATAGCATGAAATTGAATTACATAAAAAATGAAAAAGAAAATAGTATAAAAGCAACAAGAGTGCTCCACTAATCATAGTAATGTTCCATAGCAAAAAAGCTTAAAGTGTTTATAAAATATCAAATTAGTCATGCATTTATAATTATCTATGATGAAATCAGATTGATATTTTTTATAGTAATTCAAAAACTGTAGCAATAAAAATATGATTAAATAAATACTTTTAATAGTCTAGTTTAAAACAACTATGAAGTAACTCACCATGTGGCAGTGTTATACTTGCACCATCAATAATAGCCTGAGCTAAGGCATGGTCCCCTGTCTCCAAAGCATATGCTGCTGCCTTCAGAGCATCCCAGATCTCTTTACGCCCTTCAAATGCAGGAGCTGTGTCCCAGAATTCATCCCGCTTGCTCCTTAACTGACCTTCTGTCAAGGGCACATCACTCTTCCACTTTGGTCGCTCAGGCCGCAAAGGTTGATTTCTACCAATTGAGACTGAATGGCAAAAAATGAGTAGTTAGTCTACATTATTATTACTTTCTATCCTCGTTTTACAAGCTTAAACACAATTTACTCATCGAGACAGATAAATAGCCCTCCTAATGTAAGATTAACATTTTGTGAATTTGGTGCCCAAATTAGCACCATTGCATATTATGTAGACTATGCTTTTTGAGAGTCCATCTGCATGTTAAGGCACAAAAGTACCTTTTGTTGTTGAGTACAGACCACGGATATCTCACCAGTCATGCTCTTAAATATATTAGAAGCGAAACTAGATGATAATTTACCTCCATGCAATTTCTACAAAGTATTAGCCAAAGATATGAATTTTGAGCTGAGAATAGGTCTCTGTATAGCACTTCATTCCCATGCCTTAAATCAGACATCGGCAGCATACACCATACAATTACATACATACTGATTGAAGCCTATCTAGAACATATCTAAAATTTCCATCTTACACGTTGCAGAGGATTTTCGTCTCCACAACATTCACATACCAAGAGATGAGAGAGCCCCTTCACCGCCCCAACAATCCCAATCAAAAGGGGAATATATTTTCCTCCTTTTAAAAAAAATCTCAAGAAATAATAAACAAATAAAAATTAACTTTACCTGCTTATACCTGCAAAAGCAGTAGACCCATAACAACATTCCAATATATTTATGAAAAATTAAAATTTAATTAAATTGTAATATTTTACCATTCAAATATAATTATTCAAATCATTTGGGCCATATTCCTCTTTTACAGTTATTGGCTACTATTTATTAATTGCATGAATTTACTCAGAGTAATGCTAAATTATGACTATTAATGTAAACTACCCCTGTGTTAGGCGGGCTGAGGCTGAAGCAGTTTTGTAAGAGACACACAAAAAAATGTAATTTTCACCATGATTCCTTATAAATTTATTTTACAGGGAAATTTTGTGCTAGATATAAACCAAACCAACGCAACAAACAAATTGAGCTTTTCATTATGCACATGCACTGGTACTTGAAACAAACTGTGCAAATGTTTATGCATAAAAATAATGTCTGCCCATGGCATGTATTGCATGGTAAAATTAATCATAATTTTAAATAATTTGGGTAATGAATAAACATTCAGTTATTCAATGTCATCAGCTTATATAAAAAGCATGCTTAAGTAAGAAAATTAAACGAAAGCCTATGTTTGTTTTCTGAAGGGCATTGTATCTAATTTATTGCAATTATCATCTGCATGGACCTCAAACATGTGATGTAAACAAAACAAAGAAGTGTCAAAAAATGGTCATGCATTAACATTTAAAGTGTCAATGAAATTCAATACACAATATCTTACTTCCAGCAACATCTGAAGACTCCCTGGATGAGTGATCACGGTGTCTATGACTACCTAAACACCCTCCCATATCGTAAAGAGGGGTTTAGGGGATAAAAATTGACAGTTCCTTCTCTGGGCTTTTCCAGTGACGTCACTGATGTGAATAAATTTGTGCAGGTGTTTAGATAAAAATGTCACGAAATAAGAATATTTTTAATATAAATTTATCAAAACATAATAAAGAATCACTGATTTAATTTTCACATTTTATAGTATATAAAGCATATGATTGTCTCTATTAAAAATATTATTTCTGCGTATCTTCAACATGGACGCGCCCATGAAAAGTTGCATTGAAAGATTTTTTGAAGATTCTGACAATTCTGCGCCCAAAGCACTGTGCAAAGGTGTGATTTTGAAGTTTATTTTCCATTTTTGATCTCTCTTTATGTTTAAGATGGGAAAGTCTTGTTAGAGGACTTTACAATGTGGTTGTCATTGATTAAGTTTTTGTGTGCATAGTGTTCGCACCACTATCGCGTCGTACCAAAAGTAAAAAACGTTTTTCATGGGTATATGAACAATATCTCATAGTGAATTATGTAATCTCCATGGAGCTTTATAAAACAGGAAAGTCAAAGGCCGAGTCCGTGAAGACTACATATGTATATTTTAAAAGGTAATCAAATAAAAAAACAATAAATAATATGAAATTAGGCATAGCCTATAAACAGGGAAGTCGTTAAAAATTCCTTTCATTTTTCTGTCTTAAAGGCGTCATTCGGTATTTCATGCACCACTTCCGTTTCCACTCAGAATACTCGACGTTTATTATTTGTCCGAAAAGTTGAGATTTGTTCCGTTATCGGAATACACCGTCTTTTATCATTGAGTTACATTGTAAATGGCGGCGCCTAACTAGAACTGACACTAAAAATTTTATTGATAGGTATAGAATTCTATATATTTTTTAATTGTTTTTTATTTGATTTTCTTTTAAATATACACATGTAGTCTATAGCCGGGCAAGCCAAAGCTCAAGCCCGCTTCGCGGACCCGGCCTTTGACTTCCCCGTATAAATAAAAAATTTATAATTTTTTGTTTGTTTGTTTCATTTTACACCTTTTCCGAACAGTATTTCAGTCATAAAGGCGGGCAGTTTCCTAACCATCGTTCCTGGAGAGTTACATCAGTACTAGACTACCTTTTTACGGGCTAAACTACCAAAGCATCTTCCGGGGATAGAACTGACGCCAGAGAGATAACTGGATTAGAAGTCATTGACTCTAACCCCTTGACCATGGAGGGGGTCCAAAAAACAATTTAATTGAAGCAAAATCTTCAGCGTCAATACTAAGTGGGCACCGCAATTTTCAATGTAACTCAATGATAATAGGTGGAATATACCGGAATGGAACAATCGCAACTTTTCATCTTAATTGTCAAATGTTCCAAGTGAAAACCTGAGCAGTGTTCTATTATCAAATAGGATGGTACCATTGTTCTCATTATTTCCACCAAAATGTGAAAATTTACCGATTGGGATTTTTAAAATGTTTAAAATTCTCGATCGGTGAAAATATTTTACAAATAACCGACAGCAACCTATATCACGAGATATGCAAGCTTTTAATCAACGATATCGACGATTGCACAAAGATACCCAAATTTGAATCACCGGCCATATCTGACTGAAAGTGTTTAACCACTGATGACTAGCTACCTTGTATCAAGCACCGATTAATCAGCGCTACGCCCGATTTAGCTCTGATTTACAAACGATAAAAACCGAAGTATTTCAGCATTTTTATCACCGATCCAACCCCGTTTGAGTTTGCCTTTTCTCACCGATGGCCGTTTACACAGAAATAAAATCATGCATGACAACCGATCATAACAGCGAGTAAATTTAAAATTTAATGACCGATTGGGGACCGACCGTCAGTGTAACTGGCCCTTAATATTTTGTTCCAGTTCTAACATTTTATTCTGTTTACAGTTAATTTTCTTGTTTGTTAAATAACAGACATGTATACTATGTTACATTTTTTTTCTAGAATTAACAATAATATAATAAGAGTATAGTTTAACCTATAATTTCTATAAATTTTATCATTACTCAATTTTTGAATTTATGAAAGAATTTCATAACTTATAGCTTTATACCCTTTGAAATTAAATACATGTATATGTATATAAATAATTTGGTCTTTTTTTTCAGAATTAGTTGGAGGAAATGTTACATTAACTGATATCATAGAGAATTTAGGGTAAGAATTATATTTCTGACTGGTATATTAATTACTGCAACAGATATATGAGTTTTAATTTAAATATTCAAGAATGACTTATTTTACATTGTTTAGTTGTTTATTGAATTTCTGACTGATACACCCTTTTTTAGCTTGTCTATTCGATAAGAATAAGTAGAGCTATTGTAGTCACCCGAGCGTCGGCGTCGGCGTAACCACTCATGTTAAAAATTTTGTAATACCTCAAATATTTTCAAAGTCCATTGACATACAACCTGTAGACAGGAGGAGGTAACTGTATCAAGCATTTTGACAGAATTATGCCCCTTTATCGACTTAGAATTAACGTTAAAGTTTTTGTAATACCTCAAATATTTTCAAAGTCCATTGACATATGGCTTTGAAACTTTGCACACTTGTTCACCAACATGACCCTAACCTGCAGACAGGAGGAGGTAATTGTATCAAGCATTTTGACAGAATTATGCCCCTTTTTTGACTTAGAATTTACATTTAAGTTTGCATACCACCTCAGATATTTTCATATTCTATTGACATATATATGGCTTTGAAACAAGTTGAAATTTTATACTCTTCTTTGAGAGCATAATAGGACCCTCTTCAAGGCCTATAACTGTAACATGGTTTTAAAAAAAAAATTGCCCTTTTGTTAATTTAATTTTTTTTAAAGGCTTTTTTACTGTCAAGCACTAAGAATAGTCGAGGGTTGTTGTCCTACCGACAGCTCTTGTTATAAATTATGGTTATATTATGGGAAATCTGCTATTTAAAGAATAGAGTCAGTCATTATAGTAACATGGCATCGGCGTCACAATTTGGTTAAGTTGGTTTCTCAAAATTACTGTCAAAGGAAATAGGTTGAAACTGCACATACTTATTTGAGAGCATAATAGGAGCTCTTTTTCAGAAGGCCCATAACTCTAACATGGTTTTTGACAGACTTATGGCCCTTTTTGAACTTAGAAAATTCTACATTATCCAGGCTCTTGTTTTACTATCAAGTACTGAGAATAGTGGAGCACATTGTCCTACCAAACACTTGTTAATTTTGACAGTGGACTTAAAAATTTCTAGAATTTGATTGCTAGAATTAGATTTTATCTATTGAATTTTTTTGTGTACTTTTCATCCAAGCTCCCGGTATGTTTATTTCAGAGATTATTTAACCAACAAAGAACATACAGTCAGAGCAAGAGCAACGAGGTTGATCGCTGACATTTTACATGAACTGCCTGTTAAATTTCTCAATCTTAAACAAGGTAATGTCTCTTTTAATTTTGATTTCACTATGGAAACCTTTTAGACCGCCATTTTGTGAAGATAAAGACTATAAGGGCTGCAGAGTGCAGTTTGTGACAAGTGCTTAACAAGGCATATCTTTTCTAAAACTATATATTTTTAACATATATGTATAAGATAATGCTATTTATCTTCCACAGTTGTTTCAAATACAATGTAGTTAATTCAGAGAAGTCAAGAGGCACTTAAGGCTAAAAAAAGACAAGGTTTGTACATGTTCACCGTCCAAGAAACTTCCTGCCAGTATACATGTTTATGATCAATATTTTGTAAAAACAAGTACAGAAACCAGCTTAACAACTATACATTGTTAAGAAGCTTAAATGGTTCGGAAAGTATGACTCAGATTTTTAGGTACTTGTACATATATACATGGTTATCTATTGTTTTGCAGATTGAAATATAGAGCTCATGATATATATTTTTGAAGAAGTTAATTTCAATGATATTATATTATCTATTTGCTATGTGAATCATAAAACAGACTTTTCATGTCAAAAGTCAAAAGGCAATTTTAGCCTAGAAAAAGTGACACTTACAATAATTGACACTTGATTTTCTTAATAATACTTAACACTAATATAAGTAATCAATTAGATAACAATAAAGTACTTGCTGTATATGTATTTTGTAAATTTTGTTTTGAATTTGATTTTTTTTTGTTTGATTATAAGGTATAGACTTTGTGAGTTTAGACCATTGGTATGATTTCTTGAAAATTGTTTTCAGTGACCTTGTTATCAACATTTCTTTGTGAGAAATTAAAAGACCATCATTCCCTACAGCCTCAGGCTTTGTATGGTCTAGAGGCCCTGGTAAGTATGATATTTAAGGCTTTTACTGTGTTTAGTAACATATTTATTTTAGCTCGACTGTGAAACAAGTTCTTGCAATTTACATAAATTTCTTTTGAGTCTGCTTCCTGGAACCAACCAGTACTGGTGTCATATGAAGAAACATGGTTGTGGCCCAAGTAGGGCTTGAACCCATGATCCCTGGGTTGAGAGGCAGACACCTTAACCACTAGGCTACCGCTCCCCTTTTGTTGTGTATTGCTTATAGGCATTTGATATATAAGGCATGATAACAATTCGAAGTAGTTATTTATATCATGGTTTTATTTTATATACATGTAAATTGTAAAAATATTTTGTCAGTAAAATTGCTGTGTAAAAGGGTTATCTTGATTTAGTTTACAGTTTTGATTTTGTTCAAAGCAATATAAAGTAGTTAGAACTTTAGTATATGGTGATTAAACCAGCATTATTTTTGAAAATGTTGTGAACAAAGAAAATAATTTACACATTGCAAAAGACACTTACAGCCCATGTAAATAACTAAATAAAAGGTCAAATTATGCAAAAATAGCCCTTACTGCTCTAGTAACACAGTATAAATACAGTGAAAAAATTCTGCAAAATCGGTCATTAATGGCACATAACATGGAAATTATTACGTTTATCTTAACAAATTTTACTTTCCTAACATTCAGTTCTACTACATATTTCTCAGAAATAGTTTACCTTATCTAAAGCCATGCCGTCTTAATAATTTAAGATAACTTTTTCAATTTTGAAATTTTCTTCATCATTTAGAATATAATACTTAAGATAATTTGATTATATTTTTTAGAGTAAGACCGAAGTGATATCAGGTGAGATTATAGAAACAGTGTGTTGTACAATATTCAAGGAGGTACATACCCAATCACTGGCTCAAGCTGGCAGGAAGTCTGTATACAACATTCTCCTACACTTTCTTACACATCATCTACAAGGTACGTACTCAATTATCATGGTATTATATTTCTCTGTAGTCTCCTGTTAACCCATATTTATATAATGAATGTGTCCTGCTTTGATTTAGGAATAGTCCATTTAAAGTAACAGTGATTCTAGAATCAGAATTAAAGTACCATAGTTGTGCAACTAACAGTAAAGTTGATAAAATTTGTTGGGTTCATAGCCAATAAGACACTGTACATGTCATATGATGATTTTCTGGCTTAATTGGTGAATTTGGTGGAGCAAGACCTCCAGTGAGCTGTCAATCATTAAAGTGATACAGTCTAGTCTGTTTCTATACTAGTGGCATACAAATTTCATTATCATCACTATAATTCAGAGAAATAAGGCAAAATGGAAATATGGTCTCCTTTTAGATTTTCATTCCTTTTGAATTGTCCTTCAAGTTTTTCAAAATCTTATTTTTTACGAAGTACATATATTCATATTAATCATTTTTGTCTAAATGGTCTTCTTTCATCAATGGAAAGCTAATTTGTTGCAATTTGACTGCTACCTTAAATGTAATTTTCTTTATTGACTTGATTGAAAAACTTTTATTTAAAAAAACTTTATTTTACTTTAACATAGTCATATGGTAACATACAATCTTCTGATTTCAATTTTCCTTTAAATTATAATTATTTAGTAACTATTAAGAAATATTCACATTACATGTATATGCTTATAAATATCAGATGTACAGAAGCTCGGGACAGACTTTGTGTATGGTTACATGCAAGCCATTGACTCAGAGCAAGACCCTAGAAATCTTATCTTGGCATTTACCTGTGCTACTATTGTTGTACAGAACTTTCCTCTAGGGGTGTTTGTAGAGGAAATGTTTGAAGTCATCTCTTGCTATTTTCCCATAGACTTTACTCCTGTAAGTAACAGAAAGTTTTCTTTAAAAAGTTCCTTATTCTTTTAATTGTATTGTTATACAGTTGATACCTGTAAAAGAGGTTCTTGACTTCTGAATTAATTATACTTTGCAGTTCATCTTAGATCAGCATTGTCATTGTCATATTTTTGTCTTTAATAAATGATTGGCTACCCTTGTGGTTGAGAGGATGCCTTTAAGAGTTGAGGCATCAGAATTTCAGCCATCATTTATCCGCGCATGGCGTAAGAGGCAACAAAATGGGTTTGAATTATTGAAGTCTATGCATCTCTAAGCTCTAGCAGGTGAGGTGGTTTTGACCTCTGATGTTGCTTTAAGTTTGTAACACTTGAGGTTTGCCAAAATCATCTTTCCAGTTCAGGTGCCATATAACCAAAGTTATGTTGGTATGCCGTAAAACCAAACCAAAACAAAACATACGAAATAGCTGGCAACAAAATTAATGTTTTCAGTAATTTTATAAGTTTAGACTCATTTGAGCCAAGTCACAACAACACCAACATAATGGGTTTGCGACCAGCATGGATCCAGACCAGCCTGCACATCCGCGCTGTCTGATCAGGATCCATGCCGTTCGCTTACAAACCCTATTACAAGTAGAGAAACTGATAGCGAACAGCATGGATCCTGATCAGACTGCACGGGTGCGCAAGCTGGTCTGGATCTATGCTGGTCGCAAACCCATTATGTTGGTTTTGTTGTGACACGGCTCATTTAATGATTATTACATTATTTACAATATAAAGCAGTAGTTTGTCTTTGTATTTCAGCCAGCCAGTGATCCTAGTGGTATAACGCAGCAAGATTTGATTCTAGGTTTACGTAGATGTCTTGCTGCCACGCCTAAATTTGCCGAGCATTGTCTCCCTTTGTTGATGGAGAAACTTACCTCTGATTTGAAGAGTGCAAAAATTGATGCCCTACAAACATTGGTAAATTACAACAGATTATCAACATATTATAGTAAACCAATCACATACAAATCAAACATTTTCTCTATCTTGACAGATGATCTGTAAAAACAACTATGTTTTGTCATGGTCATAGTTTTGATATGAGTTTCAAATTATGCCTGTGTTAAAGTGACAAGTTCTAATGTATGGTCTGTTATTGGAAGTAGTTGTTTAGCACAGATTTTTGTCCCCAGTGAAAATCAAGTTTTGAGAACTCTCAGTTTGCAATCATGAACTTTCCTTGTTAAGCTCAGCTTTTTGGAAAACTGTCACAGAAATACATGTACATTAAATTTGAGTCAGTTTAAAACATTTTTCAGCAATATAAAGTGTATAAAGCCATATATCTGCTGCCTGTGGTTTACAAAATTATTGTTTTGGTTTTGAAAATGAATACATACATGTATATTTCTAAATGCCTGTTTAAGCTAAAATCGTTAGTATATTTCCTTAAATATTATTTACTTTACTGTTTAGAGCAAATGGCACACATACAAAATTGTTGATAAACTTTTAAAATCCAAATTTACAATAGTTGCATAATATTTTGTTCTGAATATTTTTATTCAGTTTTCATACAATATTCATGTGTATTCAATAAAAGAGACATCCTATGTTACAACACATTTGAGAATTGATCATAAGGTTATGGAAACTGCATATTTTCGAGGTTTATAAATTGTGTCAGAATATTTAATAAGATATAGCTTTGATTTTAACCTTTAAAATGACTGTTGCCTTTGGTAATATTGTATGTTATATATACATTTACAGGCTGTGTGTGCAGAAACATATGGTGCTGAAAAGTTGCATGAATTCCAGAGCTCATTCTTTAACTGTATAAAGAAAGAGGTAAAATAACTTTTCTGTTTTATCATATTTGGTAACTGTATATTTCTTTCTTTCTGTGAATCTTATATTTGTACTAGTTGATTTTCTTGTTACAAAAAAGAAAAAATCTATATATCATAAGATACCCATGCAGCATGTACCAATATACAAATTGAGAAAAAGAAGAATCCCTTAAGAAGGCTCAAAAAGACAAAATTTAAAATATTGCAGGCTCGGTAAAAAAGCCTGTCCATGGACGGTACTGGAAAGTGCAAGTTACCACCCATGCCCCCTAGCAATGGCTTAAGCAGAATCCAACATTTAAACATGAAAATGATGAAATATTTAATTTAGAAACATCCTCAGATGTGATCATGGTACTACCAATGTGACACTTTCATGCCATTCCATGAAAAGCAGCATATGGTCCCTAAGTAAAAGACAGTGTGTGCCCTATACAAGAAAACAATGGGTGAAACTAAACAGTATAGAATTTTGAAAGGGTATCAGCATCAGAAAGCTACTTTAACAAAGTATATTATATCAAAGATTATACATTATATTTTAGGTATTTCTGTCAGGAGATTCTGCAGTAGAAGATGCAGGTCTCATAGCTCTACAGGCCATTGTGAAGTCAATCTCTACTGGTGTTACACAGGTAGGTTTCCTTTTAAGCTACATGCCTCCAGATGAACCAAAATATTTCGACTTGAGAAAAATGTATTAAGATTTTAAGAAAAGTGAAAAGATTAAAGTAATAATTTACATGTTAATGGCTGATTTTGCTGTATGTATCACCATATTTCTACTGCATGACTAAAACAGAACAAGACTGGTATTGTTTTAATGTAATTTTCTGAATGCTGGTAGTAATGACGACTTGCCTGTGTCACAAGGTTAAATTCAAGCCAGCTTGCATGTAATTATTCAGCCTCTGATCAGACTATACTGTAAGATGCTCAGTTTAAGCTAAACCCCCTTAGAGTAACAATGGTATGTTCTAAATACAAAGCAGGGCAAGTCCATTATACAAATTCAGTAGGTTAAATGTAAAGGAAATGTATGCATAATAACTGTTACATTAAAATAATGATGATATTTTACAGAGTGACAGAAAGAAAGGTCTAGATGGATACGTAGATGAAATTCTTGCAGGTATAGTTCTACTTTGTCATTTATTAGTAGATAACATAAAAGAAAATGTTCAAAAAAAAATTTAATGGTATATAAAACTTATTGAACTTTTGTGGCTAAATAAATATATTTACTTTTGAGTTTGACAGAATAAGATTAGTTCCTTTTATATGGAAATAACAAATTTTGCAAACTGTTTTATATGTGATCAAAACAAAAAACTGCAAATTTCGATACAGAATTTTATCTTATGAGCTACCAGTCTTATGGATGAGTATAAAATTATGGTTGATCAATTTCGGACCATGTCAAAATTAGACATTATTGTAAATAGTTAAAATATGTAAAATATATATCCAATATTTATTGCTACCCGATTTTATCATACAATTTCATTGTTATTATAGATTTTACCTTTCTGTTCATATATTTTCTATCTGTAATGAATGAATGATTTAAAAATGGTCACACTCTCCTTATATTATTTATAACATATTCCTTACAGAATGTAAGAATCATCTACTACAGCCAGAATTGATGTTAATGTTATCTGCTGGACGTCTGCTACAGGCCGCAGCTCTAGGATCTCAACCAGCTTGTGATCATATTGTTAAAGTTACCACACCATTGTTGATAGAGTCATTCAATAAACAAAGCCAGGTAATTTTATATACAACTGTTTTGCTGATAAATTGCTATTATATGTTATAAAAATTATATAATGTATGTTTGTATTATGTAGTATAAGGTTAGCAATATATCACGTAGCATAATCATTTTATCAGGGGACAGTTGCATTGTTTCAATGCTTATTTTGTTTTGATTGATTGATTTATCAGTTTAAACATACTTTATTTCTCAGAATATTTAGAGGATATTGAATGAGTGTAGTTTAAATACTAAATTTATTGAACGAGTTGAATAAAATCATATTATGCGAGCCTCTTTTCGAGCATAATATTGTTTTATTCAACGAGTTCAATAAATTTAGTATTGTATCTACACGAATATAATATTCTATTTATCACATATTCAAAAAGAGAACGGTTTGCAGTTAAAACGAGTCATTTTTCATTGACGGGGCCTATAGTGTAACGCTAACATAAGCGCGCTTTAACGCTATGTTTATTTATAGTGCAAATGACGTCACGTCAAAGTGTTATTACACGGGTGTAATATAGTTTTTATTAAATGGCTTTATTACACTTCTACCCGGCGGTTTATGTGATAAAATATCATATACATTTTACAATTTACAATATACACAAAGCATTTCAAATATACTTAAAAAAAACAAACAAAAAACAGGATTAGAATGAAAGACAAAGTGTCTTATGAAATTCTTCTCCTGATTGATTGATTGATTGATGACAAATTATGCTTTATTTGTTATTGCTAGCCAAAATGTCACACAAGTATGACACCCAGACTTCAACTTATGACTTATGCTTCTCCGTTGACCTCAAAATGGGGAGAGTAGTTATGCAGGGGCCAGGACCAGTTGGTGATAAGACCCACCAACTTTAGCTATCTCACATGATAGAATTCAAAGTCCTTGATGGGAATCGGATCTACACAAGTGAGAAGAAAGTGGTTCAATGTCAGCAGTCTTAACCACTGGGCCACACAAACCCTGGCAGAAAATATAGTACCCAAGCTTATATCAATGTTAATCATAATGTTACTTAGGTTTTGATTGTTTCTTAAACTTGTTAGTCTCAAATAATAAATGTTATAACATTATATTTTTCAGGCCACACCTAGACACAATGTGATTCTTGTGTTAAATAATTTTCTAGATTGTACAACCAAGTTCAAGTTTGGTGATAATAGTAAGTTTTTCATTTTATAAAAATATTTTTATATAGTTCTTTGGAAGATTTCTTGTCTGCTTACATTTTTGCAGATGAAGAAATATTTAATAATATCATTACTGAATTTAGAAAATGATAAAAAGGTTAAATATACTTTTTAGTGATTGATTTAGCATACTGGAATTAATCTTAGTTTAGTTTGCTTTCTGAAATTTATCAGCACATTATGTAGGTTTATATCCAGAAACATTGTCATCTATTAAGTAGGGCTCTAATTAGTCATCCCTAAGTTTATAGCTAGGCACACAAGCTTATAGGGCAATGCCTTCATATTTTTGACATTATGTTTTAAACAGTACATGTATTATGAATAAGTCAGTTTTAGATGGAATAAATAACCATTGATTTATGCATATATTATGCATGTATTTTTGTATATCTTCTTTTGCTAACACTTATAGTTTAGCAGGTATATGATAAGTGCTCTGGCACTTTGATTTATCAAATTAACTGAAGCTTTCTTAAAAATCAATCAAATTTTATAAAGCTACACTGTGTTAAATTTATATCTATTTAACCATTTAAAATTCTGTAAAAGAATTTTGTTAAAGAAAATTGCACCATAGAGGATTTTTGTTGATTTTTGTGCATTCAAAGTGCCACTACCTGAAACTTGTTTAATTATATATGACCATATATTTCAGATCCTATCCTTGCCACATATAAAGATTCTGTATTAACAATATACAATCAGTGTCTATCAGAGAATGTGAGCTCTGTACAGCTGCTAGCTATAAAAGGTATACATACCCTGGTCTCCCTGCCTACAGGGTGTCTGTTAGATACAGAGAGGTCTTTCATTACAGCCAAACTTGTCAACAAAGCCATAGAAACAAATATTGAGGATCATGTAAGGTAAGTTATCAATGTAGATTTTATTACAGATTTACGTTTATATGAATTGTAAAGTTTGTAGCAATCAGTGGTAACTCTGTCTGACTAACTGTAAATACAGTACAGTCCATTCCATTTTATCATGGTCTGCACTATTTAATGTCCCTGAAATTGTCCATAAAAATGGGCAATGTTTTTTTTCCATATTGAAAGATGAAATAAATTTAATTGGTCTCTTTAGCTACTGATATTGCTTTTAATTTGATATGAGATTTGATTTGAAAATACCTATTACCATGTTATGTCATTTCTGTAGAAAAATTGTTAAACTTTTTCTTCAGTTCCTTCAAAAAATTCAGCAAATTTTTTTATTCTATAAAAAGATAACTGATGGAAATTTCATCTTAATACATGTAGTTAAATTAATATTAAAATTGCAATTTATTGATTTTACTGAATATGTGTTATTGATATGATGTAGATTTATTTTAAATATTTATTGTTAATTTATTGTAATCTGATGTTTAAATATAGTTCTATAGAAATACCCTACTGTTACATGAAGTGTAGATAAAATTCTAAAGATCAGAAATATTTCCATAAAATGCATGTATGATACAGTATTAACTAATTTAACTTTTGCAGGCACGAGTGTAATTCCACTTTGTTGTATTTGTTAACTACATATCCAGATGTTGTGCAGAAAGATGTTTTCCCATTCCTGTTCGCTAAATTACAAAACGGTAATTTTTGCATCATAAATATATATCTCTGTTACATAAATTTAGATAAATGCATGTGGAAATCAGATTCTCAGTTTTTTTCCTTTATTTACCATCTACTTATATTTAAGATTAGTTTTCCTTCCTGTCAATTAAAGAGGATAATATCATACACCTGGCCTTATAAGCAGGTTATTTAAGCCCATGGGAAAAATTATAAGATTTATGGTAAAATGTAGACCCCGACTTATAAGTGGCCTGACCTATAGCTGGGTAAATAAGGTATAACCTCAAATTCAGTGCAATTAATGTATCTAATGATTCATTTATAGATATATAGATATATTAATTTTGTATAAGCACTTAAAATATTGATAAGAATAAGATACTTAGAAATATAACTCTCACACAGACTTTATTATTCTTATTTCTTAAGTGTAGACAGATGTATACAGGTTTAGACAGGTGTAGGCAGATTACAACAAGATAAACAAGTGATTTTCATCAGCCTTTTTTTGTTGCCTTACTTACATACAACTTTTGTTTCTTTTTTTTTCTTTTTTTTGGCTAGGCTTTTTTAAGCACACTTGACTTTTCCAAGGTTATTTAGGTAATTTTTAGTTTTACTGGTGAAGGTAACCTCTAGTCTGAATCTTATTTGTTAACTTTTAAAGCAAAACAAAAAGTCTGTTTGCTCATGACTTTCTAAAATATTCTTACATTGCATTGAAACTTTGCATAAATCTGCTCCATAAATTATTGACAGTTGGGAAGGCTTTATAATTACTTGATACAGATAACTGCCACTATGACACAATGTGATGAGTGTAACATCCAGGTTGCTACCTGAAAGGTCAAGGCCAAGTGTAGTGGTCAAATGTTTCTATCCATAACTCTTTGACTCTTTAAAAAATGTACTTGGACCAAACGATCACCTCTAGGACATGATGTGCTTCCAATGTGCATATTGCATCAGTTCAGGTTTAATTACCCCCCACCCCACAAGGTCAAAGGTCAAGGTCTGTCAAAGGTTAAAAACTCCAGATTCAGTATGTCCTTTGCAGCATGGGATATTGCTTTCCTGAAGACTATCTTGTTTGATTCAGATTGTCTCCCTTGCATTATTAATGTATCTTTTCCATTTATTTATAGAAGCAATGGAGACAGGAGATAACTGTGGTGTAGATAGGAGAGTGATATTAGAAGTTATCTCCGAGATAACTTGTGGTTCTGAAAGTATAAAACTGGTCACTGGTGTACTCTACAAGTTGTTAATGAATGCAGGTAAGTTAGTTAAGACTGATATAAATTTTGTATTTAATAAGATCTCAAGTCACAGTGAAACAGTTTAAATCATGTGGCAACCTGCTAGCTTTTTAGGTAAATTAATCTTTATAAAGTCTTTAAGTGGCACTTTTGCCAATTGGTTAATGTGTCAGATTGGTATTCTAAGGATTGCTGACTGCGTGGGTTCAAACCCTGTCAGAGGAAGCCTTTTTTTTGTGAGCAAAAAACTTTACACTCTATGCTTGGTACTGGTTGGTTCCAGGAATGGATTTTAGAGTGTTTCAATAAGCTTATAGCTTACAACACGATCTAACTAAAATAAATATATATAACCTAAATCCTCATAAAACCTAGATTATTTTTTTGCACAGCTGAGATTATTACAAGAAACACTGTATCTTACATTTCATAGGATAACCTTATGAAAGGTATATCTTACCCAAAACCATAGTTATAATAAATATATAACTGACCTGGTATTTTGATGTGTTGTTTCCCCCACCAAATCTTTTAATTTATTGTTTATTTTATAGAATATTTGGACCTATATCAGTCACTGTCTAAGTGCCTATCTGCTATATCTGCCAATAATGTGAGTGACACAGGGGCCATAGAGAGTTTATCATCAGGTGTAGAGCAGGTACATACCCTTGTTGTCACCAGGTGTCGCTGTCCCAAGATGTACCGTATATTAACAGAAGAATCTACATTGAAACATCTCTCAGCATTTCTACGTATAGTGATATCACATTTAGATCCATCGTAAGTATTTAATTTGTGGGGATTTAAAATTTATAAGAAACATAAACTTAAAATAGGTTTACTACTCTTCTGATTTTTAGCTCGACTTTTCTATGAAAAGGGGAGCTATCCTACTCGCCCCGGCGTCGGCGTCGGCGTTGGCGTCACACCTTGGTTAAGTTTTTCGTACCACCCCACTTTATTTCAGAAGTATTACAAGTATGGCTTTGAAACTTACCATACTTGTTCACCATCATAACCTCCATCTACAGACAAGAGTACATAACTCTGTCAAGGTTTTTGACAGAATTATGGCCCTTTTTTGACTTAGAAAGTGTATTGAGCTTGGTTAAGTTTTTTGTACCACCTCACTTTATTTCAAAACCATTGGAGGTATTGCTTTGAAACTGACCATACTTGTTTACCATCACGACCTTCATCAACAGACAAGAGGACATAACTCTGTCAAGGTTTTTTGACAGAATTATGCCCTTTTTGACTTAGAAAATACATTGAATATGGGTAAAATCCACTTATTGCCTTAACCCTTTGAGATATTGCTTTGAAACTTTTAATGCTATTTCACATCATTACCCCCATCTGTACGCAAGAGAAGGTAACTCTGTCAAGGATTTGTTTTAAAAATTTAAGGCCTTTTATCGACTTAGAATCTTGGTTAAGTTTTTTAGTACCAGTCCACTTTTTGACTGAACTGTTTGAGATATTAATTTGAAAGTTGGAATACTTGTTTACAATCATGATTCCCAAACATGTCCAGGAGAAGGTAATTCTGTCAAAGATTTTATTTGAATTATGGCCCTTAACTGTCAATGTTTTGTATTATAGGCAAGCACTAAAAAAACTTAAAAAATCTAAAAAAAATTCATTCCTATCCACTTGTTCACTTTACCATAAATTATGTCATATAAACATTGCTGTAATATTCAAGGGTATCAAACAACTAGTTTTTTTTTCTTTCTTACCAGCCCTCTTTTGACTTAAACATTTCAAACTTTGCTGCAGTGTTCAAGGGTATCACACAATTCAGTAAAATAATTCTTCACTAAATATCTTAATGCTCATGGCCATTGTTCACTTTAAAAATACAGAGATTCTTGTATTGCCTTTTACTGCAAAAACTTTTTTTATTGGCAAGCAATAAAAAAGTCGAGCGCGCTGTCTTACGGACAGCTCTTGTTTGTAATACATTTGCTTTGCTTTGATTTTGGAACTGTCTTCCATCCAAAGTTTAAAGGATTTCCTTAGGTGCTGTCTATATAATATATTTCTGTTTACCAATATTTCAAGTTAAGGTTCTGTTTAGAATTTCTGGAATTTAGATACCATGACTTGAAGTCTTTAAGTTTTAGACTATTCATATATGAATAATGTAATATATAACAATACATCACAGTTTGGATATAAACTTATGTTTTATGTTATGTTTATGAAAATCACACTCAAATTTGACTCATAACCCTCTTCTGGAAAACAAGTGAAATGTCAAAATTTTTGAATTTTTTGAAACCTCTGGTATTTGCACCTGATTTATGTTGTTTAATTCATTAAGTTAATCTCAGATAATTATTCTTACAGGATAGCTGTTATTCTGCAAGGAAAATACACAGAAACATTCCTGAATGGATGTAAAACCAGTATATGTCAGTGTTGTACTGAACAAGACAGGGGAATGTTCAAATCTCACATGCAAGAGTTTTCTCCCTTTAATGTAAGAATTTAATATCTAACAATAATATTGATGAAAAATAATGGAGTAATAAAAAAAAACAACAGTTTGACTGGTTTAGAATATTCTTTTGTTATCTACTTATATGGCCTCACACAATATACAATGATTTTCTTCAATATAGATGTAATCTTGAATGCCATTTTCCTTGTATTTATATCATTAAAATTAATTCAGTTGATTTAATTATGCTGAAGTCTTTTCAGCTAAAAAAAAATTGTTTGTTATTTCAGCAATTCATTCTTCTAATTTTGTTAAATGAGAAATATAAAAAGGAAAAAAAAGGAAAAGAAACAATAACAAGTAAATATTACAATGGTGCAATTCTTAAACTTTCATATTTGTTATACATACATTATATGATATTTGACTCAAACATGTAATTGTATATATACAATACACTTGTTTTTTTTTTATATTATAGGCCAGCTGTGATAGTGTGTTTGTATGTTTATTAACTGCAGTATACATGTATGATACACTTGCTTTCTTGTATTATAGGCCAGCTGTGATAGTGTGTTTGTATGTTTACTTACTGCAGTATACAGTGTACGATACCAACTTGCTTTCTATGTATTATAGGAACAGCCGCTGACTACGTGTGTTTGTATGTTTACTTACTGCAGTGATAGGATCAGGCCAAGGAAAGGTATGTTTATTACAACTTATACTATGAAAAATTGTATATAAATATATGAGTAAGTTAGTAACTTACATTTACAGCAGTTTTGTATATTCATTATAATTCACTTGCTATAGTCACTGGAGGTTTAATTTTTTTATCTTGAACTCAATCTTACTCCTAACTCCTATACCCTTTCTAGACACATATTGAAACTGAAGTTGTTTTGACCAAATGGATTTATATACTTATGTTTTTAATCATAATATTTGCAATGACAGAAATACAATTTGTTTCTGCAAGGAAAAGGAAACTTAAACAGTTTATAAATATTATATTCCTGACCCACGTCATAGCATTGACAAAAATTTCATATTACAATGGTCATTTATAGGAGAATATACATTTTCATATAGTCAAAAATACATATCAATTTAAAATGCTTAAATAGTGCAAAATGAAAGTAATATAACCTTAAATTTCCTAATCAACCTTAAGTAATAAAGAGAAGTGGAAACATATCGAGGGTTTGGTGATAAAGGGTCGTAAATTATATGAAATAAAGAAAGAGTGAAGACCCTTTCACACCAAGCAGTTTTTATGTCCCCACTTATTAGGAGGAAAAAGATTTTCTCATCCTTCCGTTACGCTGCCTGTCTGTACACTGACAAAACAGTGGAATGTTGGGGCATCCATGACCTATGGCCACATTTCTAGATATTTTTGTTTTACAGTTTCAGAAGGATATACCTGGTATTGAGACAATTAAGGACAGATTAACGGAGATGGTACTTGAACCTTCACACTCCCAGGATGATGTACATGTGTGTAAATGTCTAGCAGCGTTACTCAACAAACAGCAACAAGGTATGGTCATATTGTTTTCTGGTTATGTGTCAGATTTTTTGCCCCCGCTACATAGGAGTGCACTTAAAGATTGGCTATTTTACATCCCTCTCCCACTGTCTTGCTGTTCATCTGTAGACTGTGTAAACAATGGAGTATATGAGAGCATCTGTGTCCTATGGATACATTTCCAAGTTAAAATTTTCATTCAGTCATTGAATAATGGTATTAATTTGCCTGTATTATATCACTTTAGGTTTTTACATTATCTGTATGAAATAAAGTATTTCTTTCAATAGAAATTTCCTTGATAAGCAATTGATAATAGGTTTTTGAGAGTTTGAATTGCATTTCAATTGAAACATATCTTGAGTAAAGATAGATACATAAGAATACCCTTGGCAATATATTTGTGTAAAATAGTTTTACATGTTAAATACCATCACTTATTTTATCATTTTAGCTAATTTTTTCCTTGAACGATATTTATGAATATACAGTATAAGATTTCCAAAGTCTTCCTAACTTACATGTATGATGTTTTTTATGAAGAAAAATATTTTTCTCTTCTCACTGTAGATGAATCTCTAGATGCAAGGGTTACTTCCCTTTATGAACGACTATTGACCTCTCTGACCTCTAGTGATGATAAAGGTGAAGGTCATACTCTAACAGCGTTGTCATGGGTTACCAAAGCTTTAGTATTGAGAGGTCACAAATTAGCTCAACAGTTTATAAACTTAGTAAGTATTTAAATTTCTTTTCATACTATTTATGTCTGATATGATATATATAGGATGCTTGATCTTTTATATGGACTTGTTTTCTTCCATTCAAGAACCAAAAATTGTTATCTGTAATAATGTTGTTGTTGATTTTCTTCGTAGTCAAAAGGAATTCCTTTGATATATTACTTTATTCAAGAAAATATGAAAACAAGCAAATATAACAGATACTTTTCTTCATCTTCCATAATTAATTATTATGAGCTTTACTGACAGGTTGTGTCTATTAATGATAAAAAATTGATTGATATTTTCTCAGGTAATATGCAGGGCATTTTTGGTAGCCTATTAGTTCCAATTTTATATATTTTCATGTTTTTTTGAAATATCTTATCACACTACTGGCTTGAGACAAAAGGTTAAAGGTCAATTTTGAGGACCCCTGCTTTTTATAATAATAAAAAAATAAATAGAAATTAAATTACATTTAATTAAATTAAATTTTTTACATACAAAAAAAAAGTTAAAAACAAATTGAGAAATTATTAAAAAAAAAATGAAAGAAAGATTTTCTTCAAAAAGGAAAGTGCACTTTGATCTGGATAATTAAATGTAGACAGTTTATGTCTTCTGTTGTCACAAGGCTGGCCATGTCATAAACAGCTTACAGAAATTACTTGTTAGTACAAGAAGTTCTCCTCAATTATTTTTTATTAAGTATATGTCATATTTACTTCAATAAAAAAAATAATATATATAACAGTTTCCAAAGTTACCAGTTTCATTTGCTAGTTGACCTGATGTATTTTACTGTTCTAAGGTATTCATGTCAATGGCAGGAAAATTTATAGTTATAATCATGTTATAAAAAGTGCATATTAAAATGTAAAGTAATGGAAAATTGTCATTAAGTCACATTGCAATAGGTAACTTTATCACCGAGTCAGCATATTTTTTTTTGCACCTTTATCCATGTGCAGAATAAAAGATATTTTCAAAGAAACTGTCACAAAAATTTAAATAATAAGTAGTCTAAATGCACTTTTTCTTGATCATTAATCTTTTTAAAGGGTCAAACTGGAAATGTTTTATGTATTTAAGTGATTTTAGAACATTTTTTGTGTGTGGGCAATTCTTATTCCAGTTTTTGGTTTTCATAAAAAATATTTTTTATGCCACCGCAGCATCTGCGATGCGGTGGCATATAGCGATTCACCTGTGTGTGTGTTTGTTTGTGTGTGTGTGTGTTATATAGATTATATAGTGAACTTAAAAAATCTTCTTGTGAAAAACCACTTGTCCAATTTCAACCAAACTTGGCAGGATTGATCCTTGGGTGAAGGGCTTCCAAAGTTGTTCAAAGAATTTCATTCCATGCAGAAATCTGGTTGCCATGGCAACCAAAATGAATTATAAGAATAAATTTAAAAAATCTTCTTGTAAAGACCCAAAAGGCCTAGAGCTTAGATATTTTGCATAAGGCATTGTCTGGTAGACCTCTACCAAGATTGTTCAAATTATAACCCTGGGGTCAAAATCGGCCCCGCCCCGGGGGTCATTGATTTTCACTATATGTACATATAGTAAAAACTTAAAATAACTTCTTGTAAAGACCCAAAAGGCCTAAAGCTTAGATATTTTACATAAGGCATTGTCTGATAGACCATTACCAAGATTGTTCAAATTATAGCCCTGGGGTCAAAATCGGCCCCGCCCCGGGGGTCATTGATTTTCACTATATATACATATAGTAAAAACTTAAAATACCTTCTTGTAAAGACCCAAAAGGCCTAGAGCTTAGATATTTTGCATAAGGCATTGTCTGGTAGACCTCTATTCAGATTGTTCAAATTATAGCCCTGGGGTCAAAATCGGCCCTGCCCAGGGGGTCATTGGTTTTCCTTATATGTATATAGTAAAAACTTTATAGTAAAAAAAATTCTTCTAGCAATTGGCAAATGCTAGAGGTTAGATATTTTGCATGAAACATTGTGAAGTGAACTTCTAGCAAGATTGTTCAAATTATAGCCCTGGGGTCAAAATTGCCCCTGCCCCGGGGGTCATTGATTTTCAATATATATATACATGTATAGTAAAAAATCAAAAAATCTTATTATCTGAAGGTACAAGGCTTAGAGCTTGAATATTTGTTAAATGATATCATCTATAGGTACTCTACCAAAGTTGTTCAGATTTTGCCTCTTGTGTCAAAATTAGCCCCGCCCCGTGGGCCATAGGTTTTCCTTATATGTATATAGTAAAAACTTAAAAAATCATCTTCTCTAAATTTACAAAGGCTAGAGTTAAGATATTTTGCATGAAACATTATGTAGTGAACCTCTAGCAAGATTGTACACATTATAGCCCTGGGGTTAAAATTGGCCCCACCCCCAGGAGTCATTGATTTTCACTATGTACATATAGTAAAAAAATTTTAAAAAAAATTGTCTGAAGGTACAAGGTATAGAGCTTTGATGTTTGCTATATAATATCATCTATGGGTTCTCTACTAAAGTTGTTTTAATTATGCCCCTAGTGTTAAAATTGGCCCTGCCCAGGGGCAGTGATTCTCATTATGTTCACATGGTAAAAACAGAAAATAAAACAAATCTTTTCTGAATGGGAGAAAGCTACAGCTTAGATATTTGACTTGAAATGTTGTTTGGTGGACCTGTGTCAAGATTGTTTTGAATTAAACCCTTGGGTCCAAAATTTTGCCTTGCCCAAGGGGACAGTGACCTACTTTCTTGTCCTTTGATGTACAGCAATGAAATTTTGACCATGTGCACAGTTTTAGTTGTAAAATTGAACTTTGATATCAGGTGACCTAGATTTAGATGATGTGACCTACTTTCTTGTCCTTTTATGTACAGCTATAAAATTTGAACCATGTGTACAGATTAAGATGTTAAGTGAACTTTGTTTTCAGCTGACCTAGATTTTGACAAAGTGTCTTACTGTGTTGTCCTTTGATGAAGTCATGAAATTAAAGCTGTGTGAAATATGACCATCAAATTCACTAGACTCAAGTGCATTGATATATTCCTACTCTGATCTTTTAATGAGTTAACAACAGATTTAACCACTAATCTGATATTAAGAATTAGATAGATCAGGGATCTATGCATTATGACAATCTTCAAAATTGTATAGAAACAAAAAAAAATCTGTTTCTACACTACTATTTAGTGTTGTATTAATGCGGTGGCATAGCATTTTTCTCAAATGCAATCTTGTTATTAAATACTTGACATATTCATTAAAATTACCAATAAATGAGGTCACCTGTTTTTTTATGTATAATAAGTGATTCACAAGCTTGCTGGGTGTAAATAATTAACTTTTTATTCAAGTTTCAAGATGTCAAGCTGGTAATTTCATTTGAATTAAAAAAAAGAGTAAGGGAGTGTGAAGATGAATTGTGCTTTTCACTCACCACTGTTCCAGATCTGTTCAAGATTACTTTTTTGTAACTTATTTTCAGATATTTGGGTCATGTTCAACTTTAATAATTTGAGTTAGATTTTTTTAAAAATTATTTAACCAAAATTGATCAGTAAGCAACTATCTGTAAAGTTAATAATTATGAAAAGAATTACAGACATTTTTTGTGTGGTGTGATATTTTATTTTTTCTATAAATGTTGAATATTTTGATTATTTTCAGCTTATTCAGTTGCTAGGCAACAGTAAATATGGAAAGAAAGCTGCAGAAGGTTTTGCTGTAATTATGCAAGATTATGCAGATGTGATGTCAAAGGTCATGCATGCTAATATTAGGTTAATGTACAGACAAAGGTTCTTCATTGAGCACCTGCCCAGTATTCTAGAGGGGTACCAGTCAGCACAGCCAGGTGGGTATAGTACTGGGTATTTGTCCATTTTCCTGCAGGGAACCAACAAGCCCAGCTTAAAAAACCAACAAAAATCAAGCTACCGGTACTGAGGGTCCTGTAAGCTAATCGTTTATTGCTTGGAACACAACCAAGTTGTGTTCAGTGTTCAGTGCTTTATACTTGCTTAAATTACGATTATTTGTACTGATTCTTTTCATTTACTATTACTTTTATTATCTCAAAAACTTTATAAATTTTTATATAAAAGAGCATTATTCAATATTTGTGTGATTTTACATATTTATATTTCATTGTTTGTTTTTGTTTTTTTTGCAAAGTGCATTATGTATTTTAATTGATGTTTGATTGCATAGATTTTCTATTATATATTTGAAAAAAACACACAACAAAAGCCTCTGAACTGTTTATCTTAACATTATGAATTTATAAGTCATTATTTTATTTTGGTTTACCATTGAATGGCAATTCATAGATTCTTGTACAATTTTGTTTTATTTCAGAAACTAAGGCGAATTACCTGAAAGCAGTGTCATACATGATAAGAGATTTGAGTAAAACTGTTCTTCTCCCTGAGATTACAAAGGTTGGATATTTGATTTATTTTCTGTCACCTTAAAATAGAAATTAGTTTGTTTTATATAAGCCCTTTTACATATAAAAATAATTTCGTGAAATAAAAATTAAGATATTATTTTCCTGGTTGGGAATTGGACTAAATCACTGGTTTTTATCCATCTGTAAAGCTAGAGGATTTAAGACACTACAGTGTTGGATCAGTACCTCTAGACTTTTGCAGAAACCATAATCACAAAGTAGCCGATTGTTACATTTTTAATTCATGATAGTATATACAAATCGGTGTGAAGAAATGAATTAGACATCTTAGAGTAGATTTTGGCGGATGAAAAGTTGATATATATGCATTTAATCTTTCAAGAGTCTTGTCCAGTATATTCAATTGAATACGGTATTTAGTGTGGTGCTTCAACAATTTTATGGTCTCACTCAAAGCTAGACAGTGAACACATTGCCAAATTAGTACTCAAAGCTAGACAGTGAACACATTACCAAATTAGTGTTTTCATTGACATAGCTAGTCAAGAGTGATCACACTAATTCGGATGTGATGTTTATATAACGGCAGTAAACTAGCTCATGACTTTATTCCGCATTGTTTTCAGATTTATCCTTTGTTGATACAATCTCTGCACTGTGATGACCTTGACCTTCAATTGGTAACCATGGAAACATTGAGTGACCTCATTTCCAGTGCACCTGATGTCATAGAGAAACAAATTGACTCATTACTGCCACAGGTCCTCAAAATGACAACATATAAACCTTCCATGGTATGTTAGTTATTAGTTAATTAGTAGCTGAAAGTTTTATATTCTAATGAAATTATCTCCCCCTGCAAATTTGGTGAACTATGTCTACTTCAGTGTCCCAGGTAGCTGAGGTCCCCCTCCACTAGCAAAGCTTGAAAGTGTCCATATGACCTTTGCACTGTTGGTGCTGGTGCTACTTAAAACCAAGATTATAACACCATACAATTACAGGGTGAGAAAATGTGCTGCCAGACTAGGACTCCAACCTGGGACATTTAGAATACTAGTCCGTGGCTCCACTGATTTGGCTGCTTACTCACCTCCTCCCCTAAGTAGTCAAGGGCGTAGCGCCCATTACGCACAATACGCAATTGCGTATAAAAAAAATCCGAAGGTAAAAAAATAAAATCGAGAAAATCTAAGTTTTAATAATTTTATCGCTGTAGATTTAGATCTTCATTTCTGTTTACAAACTATTCTGTTGCGTCATACTGTTTACTAGTGTAAACTATGATTGCGTCACTCTATCGTATGCCGTTTCTATTAATTATCGTAATATATAAGACCCCATTCAAGTCGATAATGAATCTGATCAGGCAGAAACAAAACAGAATTCACAAGACCTGGCATGTGACCCTCCTGTGATCAGCAAATCAGACTCCAATATTGTGCCTCCTTCTCCCCCTTCTTCTTCTCCGCCCAACTCCTCCTCTTTGTCTCCCCCTGCTACTTCTCCCCTCGAGAACCGCTAGAAGTTCCCTGGGAGCACGATTCCTGGACATCGGAAGTATTGATATCAGAAGCCGACTAAGAAAGCCGGATTCTAAAAAAAATGTTGTTCTCACCCAACAGTTCGAGCCATATGCAGGTTGGGTTGCACCTCTCAAAGAAACTCGAAAACAGGCAACAAGTAGCTAGGCGATTGCCAAACTTTGTGTTTGAGCAACAGAAGCACAAATCTATACTTATAGTACATCCCTGTATTTGATGGGGTATTTTGTGCTCCATGTTTTGCCTTTAATGCGGCTGAAAATGTGCTTGTCGCTCGTCCGTTGATTGATTGGAGCAGCCTAAGAAAAGTCGTTGATGGGCACACACTAGAAAGAACACATGAATTCCACATGAGCGCATCTGGAAGGTAGAGCAGAATGTGGTCGAGCTCGGATCAACGGCCTAAGGACAGAAAGTACAAAAGAACAGGGGGGCGTTAGCAGCCATCATTGAGGCCATAATTCTTTGTGGGCAACAAAATATATCTATGAGTCAGATTGTTACTATTTCTGCGGAGACTTATGGAGTGGTCGAAACAGCTTCAATGATCATTAGACCATTTAATATCTCGTTGTATCTGGTAATTTCCCTACTTTCTTACGATGGAATAGAAGTGTTCTCAGAGTATATTTTTCTTGTGCATTTGGAAATAATACAACACTTGAATAAATAAGACTGAAGGCTTAAGAGAAAAGTCGTTCTTACCAAACTGATTTGATGAATAATGCTAAAGAAACTTGTAATCTGGTTAAATGTTTTTTTTAAATTGAACGGGCATTCATACATAAACCAATTTCATGATTTGCATCCTTTATCAAACTTCACATGGAAAATGTTTGTGTATGCTTTATATGCACATATAAAATAAGAAAACAACAAGGCGTACACTGCCTTTTTTCTTCACAAATCTGTTCGAAGTTATAATGAAGTAAGTTAAAAAGTAAAACGAGCAGCTATATGTTTATCAATTTATGGGGGAAAATGACTTGAAAATGCTTCATGCTTTACGTGCAAAAGGTGCTTCAAGACATGCCAGAGCCCGCCAATTAACATATAATTTTTCAAAATTTTCCGGGGGAGACCCCCCGTACCCCCACCAGCAGGAGGGGGACACCCCCTCCCGCACGCTCCCCCTCTCAGCACTTCGTGCCTCGCTTTGCATATAATTCTTCAAGCTCTAGCTACGCCCCTGGTAGTGAACAGTTTTGAACCATGACATACTCCCATACAGATGTTGTTCATCATTTATATGCTTGTATTGTTGCCCTGACTGTATACACTTAAAAGTTTGTACCTATCTAGGCGAAAAATTTTCATAAACAGTATTATCTCTAAATATTCTTTGAAATCATAGTGATGGAAGATAACAGTTTTGTCCAAAATGAGGAAACTCCTGCTGGTCAGTGAGGAAAAATATTTAAAAATTATACATTATTATGTATTTCAATAACTATCAATATGTTATTTCTAACTAAAGGTTATGTCGTAACTAGTACCTGAATTTTACTTATTCAAATTTTTCTTTCTGTCAAGAATATGTTGAAGCTCCTACAATGTTTTGCTATATTGATATTTTTGATATTTGATTTCAGAAAGTGAGAATATCAGCTATAAAATGTATATCATCATTGACAAGTTTACGACTGACCGTACTTCTGCCGTACCGTAAAAAAGTTGTGCGTGCCCTGTTACCAGTCTTAGATGATAAGAAACGAAAAGTTAGAATGGAAGCTGTCACTGCCAGACAACAGTGGTAAAGTACTATATTATACCTTGTATAGAAATTTTTTATTTAAAGGCACATTATGCCTTGGAAATGATTTTTTAGCTCGACTATTGGATAAGAATAAGTAGAGCTATTGTAGTCACCCGAGCGTCGGCGTCAGCGTCTGCGTCGGCGTAACCACTTATGTTTAAGTTTTTGTAATAGTTCAAATATTTTCAAAGTCCATTGACATATGGCTTTGAAACTTTGCACACTTGTTCACCATCATGACCCCAACCTGTAGACAGGAGGAGGTAATTCTATCAAGCATTTTGACAGAATTATGCCCCTTTTTCGACTTAGAATTTACATTAAAGTTTTTGTAATAATTCAAATATTTTCAAAGCCCATTGACATATGGCTTTGAAACTTTGCACACTTGTTCACCATCATGACCCCAACCTGTAAACAGGAGGTGGTAACAGTATCAAGCATTTTTTTTTACTATCAAGCACTAAGAATAGTCAAGCGTTGCTGTCCTACCGACAACTCTTGTTTTTGGTTTCTCTAGAAATGGCAAAAATGTGTTAAGTAATATTTTGTTAATTGATTTAAAGCATATATGCTTGGAAGCAAGTAGGACTTTGAAATAACTTGTCTTAAAAGGTAAGAAAATGTAAACAAAGTTGATTTTGGCATCTATACATAAAAAAATACAGAAAAACAAACTTACAAACTATACTGAATACCGAAAAGTAAAAGAAGCTGAAGATGGTTAAGCTTTTAGGTCAATCAGTATGTTTTCAAAAACCCAAAATATGAGAAATGAAAACAAACACATTTTTATAGGCATAATGGGCCTTTAAATCTGTTTCTTTACTCAAGTATATCAAATTACTTCATATTCACCTAAAAAAGGTTGTTGATTTTTCTTTTTGAATAAATATTCGAGATAAAAGTTTATAAATATTCCTAATATTAAAAGCAAGTGTCAGGTGTACAAAGTTTATACATAAATTCTACATTGTAATTTCAAAAGTAAATGTCCGTTTTGTATGTGCCATGAGTGCAAAAATGCTATGTCCTAAGTAAGAAATCATTCCATTTATAAAGTTTTTAATAAATCTAGTTTTTTGTCAACTACTTAAATATTAGTATAATGGGATTTTTTTTTAACATTATATAATTTTTTTTTCTTCAGGATTTTGGTGGATATGAAAGAAAATGTTTGAATAAAAACCTCACCATTTGTGTGCAGATTTGTAAAGCTGTGTACGCAATTACAGGAATTTATAGCACATTGTGAAATAACCGAATAATACTTGCAAAAAAACCTGATGGTTTATATGAAGCCAGGAGAAGATTAATTGTTGCTATTGGTGCTGTATAACAAAAATGTTTGTCAGTCAATTATTAATTTAATATTGTTTTGCTAGAGACCTGATAGTTTATATCATATGGTGATATTTACTTGTTGAATACATGAAACACATGGTGTTGTGGGAATTACATAGGAAACCATGCAAAAATTGCAAAATTAAATTTTAACACCACACAACCTCTGCTGTCCATTTTCATTGACATAAGAAATTGAAATTTAGATATACCATATGTGATAGAGCTTTAAAATCATAAGGGGTTTTTGTAGTTAAGGTTATTGACTTCAATTTACTTGCCAAGTAAAGTTGTTGGTTTGAATCCCCTTTGAAGACTTGGAATTTTTTTCATTTGAGAGGGCTATCTAGGCAGGAAGGTGTACAATTACAAATATAAATTACTTGCCCCTTAAAGCTGCTAATTTATAACCCTGTGTGTGATGTTGATTAATTTATATCTAAATAATATGATGGAATATGGTTATACAGAATATGCTTTTGGGTGGATTTACAATGTATGTACTTTCTGGGCATTAAGTCTTTCCGGCCCAGTGGTTTAGGTCATTGACTTTAAACCATTTGCCCCTCAACCCCTGTGGATTCGAATCCCAAAATGGACTTTGGATTTTTTCCTGTTGGTAAGCTATTCAACTAGCTTACAGATTGTCATCAAAGGTGCTATATGATACATACTGTGTTGGTACGATGTGCAACTCATAAAAAAAAAGAACACAAAAAGTCTCAACCATTTTAGCTGCAGTCGGGTAAATATTCTGAGATGACTTCTTTGCTTTGATATTTACCATGTGTATATATATATGGATAACTTCTGTTCATTGACCAAATGAATGTATTGACCTCATTTATCTATTGTTGTCTATATATTATATACTTATTCTTGAAGGTCATCTTTATTCAAATTTAAAAATGTATAGTGCAAAAAACATTGTTTCAGAGACCATGTTTTAGCAAAAGTTATTTTTCCTTTTCCATAAAGCCTGTTCAATTTCCACCATTTAGATAAAGCTTAAGGTGAGCTCAAGTCATTTAATAATTTCTACTAATAATTTATGGCAATTTTTGTCCATTTCCACTAGTTACATATGTAGCTAAATGCATTTTTCTGTTTTGTTTCCAGAAGTTAGCAAAGATAGTGAGATAAAGACATTTTTCCATTTTCGCCAGTTAGCAAAAGCAGTTTTTTTTTCCATTTCCTTACACTTGTTATTTATGTACCATTGTGACTGTAGGCGTAGCGCTATTCTTTTAATCCCTGATAACAAAATGCAAAAAGTACTTAATGCAGTTTTTTTTGCATTTTTCATCTTGAATTATATTTTGATGTATATATTATTTGGCAATCAATTAAGATTCATCTTAAAAAAGTAGTCTATGATTGCATCTTACCTGTTCATTTAAAACAGATTAGGAACAGATTAATATTTGATCAAGATGAACTTGTAATGTAGTTACTGTTATATCAGATATTAACAGACTGGTTATCTAATTATAACAACTATATGTCGAATTCTTTTATCTACATTAGACATTTTTTGCCACATTGTTTTCACACCAGGATATATTTTGACATGAATAATGTATTTAGCATGCTGATAATTTCCTGCAATGATTACTGATACTTCCTATTTACTATTATGTAATGTCTGCTCAAATATACTGCCCTACAAAAACTTCTGTCACACTAGCTTTTAATGTAAAATTAAAATATATTTCTTTGACACATTTATTAGACATTTCTTGTTGAATGACAAATTGTGTTGGTACACTTAAAAGTGATTGGTCCATAATGGAAGGTCTGTAATACAATAAATAATAATGTTGATAGAATTTAGTATCAAACATATTAAACAACAAATCAAGAACAAATTATAAATGAATATTGTTGGCAAGTCTGACATACTATTATATTTATATATAGCAGATAATAAAATGTTCTAGAACAAAATATAATTATCTATCTGATAAATGTTTATTGTAAATCTTTAAAAACTTTAATCATTTTTTTTCATTCAAGCAAATTACCCAAATGATACATTGCTGTTGTTTTTATCCATATTTGAAATACTTGTACTTTTGGATAATGTGTCCATTTAGACCAGTCCACTTTGATTGATCCACATGAACATTGGTTTGTGGAAAAACACTTTAACATCTGAAAGTATATATACACGTATATATACAATACTTTTTCTTGATATCTATATTTGAACTTATTCACTGTATTTGTTTGTGTAAATTTTCTTTATGGATATCTTAGTTAAAGTTTTTTTAAGGATCTTTTACCGGCTTGTGGATTTGATTGTTATAATTTGTTAGTTACATAATTATAAATAGTGAATTAAAGTGGTTGATACTACAGTGGAAAGTGGTAGAACAAACTTTTGATGGGTAGTATATTTGATATAATCTCCAGCACTGGCAGGATTTCCTGCAAATTTCGCAGAAAACTGTTAAAATATTGTGCAGATCTATAACATTCCTGTGCAGGCAAGTTTGTGAAATAAGTTGTGTAGGTTGATTTACCATTTTATTGCAGTCTGACTCAGGTTGGTGTTTGAAAATATTGCATAATCTTGCCACTCAGTTCAGGTTATTTTCTTAGTAATAATGGAGATTTACAACTTAGCATGTTAAAGTCACTTGGTTTCGGTTCTGCATGCATAAAATGTCCTTAGCTCATCATTTCTTATAATAACACTGGTGAAAGGTATTCACTTTAAATGTCGTTCTTTTTTCAATCACTGGCCAAGGCTTGGATATCTATTGGATTACCCCCCCCCCCCCTTTGTACACTTAAAGAGTTAAATTCATCCTTAAGTTTTGCGTGCATGCCCCATCTTAACAATCTCTGAATATTTGCTTTTAAGTCTTCACACAAGTCATCATAAGTGTAGGTAATAGGCCAATACCCATAACTCTAGCATTGATTGTCAGTAAATTATGACCCTTGGTTTGCCTATAGAATTATTGCTTGATGTTTTACATGCACAAGAAGTGGAACAAGCACAAGATCTGGAAAGTGCTGATCATATAACATGTTAAATATCAATTTGTTCCAGAATCATGTTTCATGTTTTGAAAATTGATTTACTAATCTGAAGGTCCGAATGCTTAAGACATTCTATATCAATATGTAAGTTTATGGTAATATATACGTCCCTGTAAACACGGCTTACATTCATAATATTCACTGCCATGCTGTATATTAAGTTGTCTTATATTTGATTGTGTTGTCTTCTTTTATTTTCCCTCTTTGCTAGTCAGATATTTTAAATGTAAGTTTCTGTATACCAAACATAAAATTATATATATATGTATATGTGATACTGTTAAGATTTTACCTATAAAACTAGGACATCTTTTGTAAGAGAAGTCACATACAATCCTTATATACATGTATTATACCGAGCTAGAAATTGAATTGAATGTTTTGCTGTGTGACAAAAATATTCATTTTCTTTAGTTTGTCATTGCTATATTATATCAATTTAAAGTTGTCATGTATATTAAAAGTGAAACTGAACTTTTATTATTGTTTTTCATTCCTTGCTCTTGCTCCCTGGTTGAAAATATGAAGTATATCGTGTAAATATTTCCATGTGTTATATAATTTTGTTGCACTTTGACGTTATGAATATGTTGCTATGAACAAAGTCGCGGCGTGTTAATCTGTTTGTGACTTTGAATGTTCAAGTATTGTTTTATCAACAAAATATGGAGAGCTATGTGTACTCACGCCGGCTTTAGTGTCGGCGGCGACGTCACGTAAATTATAAGTAAAGTGTTTGTTGATGCAAGTTTGTAATCTCCAAAAGAACTGAAGGAATGGGTTGAAAATTACGCGCGCTTGTTCTACAGGGTTATCCACGTGTCATAACTGTACCCTTTAACACAGTTATGCCCCCTTTTCTTACTATTCAAGCACTGAGATTAGTCGAGCACGCTGTCCTATTTATTAGCGACATTTGCGTTTGTCAGACCACCAGCCTTTTAGATACAATTACTTGTATGTTATTTGATACTAAATTCTTACTGCCTTTGAAACTTTTTTTTTTAATAATTTTTGCATCGTGTAGGAATAATGATATAAAGTAAAACATTGAGAAAAAAATATGTTTCTTTTAAAAAAATTCAAATGTCGACAAATAAATATGATATTCTAGTCAAAGAGACACCTGCCGAAACCTACAATTCTGTATAGATTATTATTCCTTCAACAATGGACAATAGATTTATCGGTCACAAAAATTATGAAAAATTCGATGAATCACATATGTTGTTTTTAAGCTCTAATGACAGAATTATTTATTTTATATAGATCTACATTGTATTTTTTTTTCAAATTTCTGAATTAATGATAAGATATTTTTGTACTTTGTTTTACTGTATATATCTTGCTATAAATAATATATAAAATCTCATAATGAATTGGAAAAAAGACAAGTTTAAGTAGCAAGATATTTTTGAAAAGTTACGGTGAAATCAGGTTAAAATTTATTTGGTGTTTTATGTGAGAAACTTCAAAATATACTTAACCATAATATTAGAAGTTACTGAGCATTTATTAGATACGACATATCAACAAGGGTGTAGGAGAAAATGCGGCTTGACATGTACCCTGTTAGCAGTCACAACAAGGGTGTAGGAGAAAATGCGGCTTGACATGTACCCTGTTAGCAGTCACAACAAGGGTGTAGGAGAAAATGCGGCTTGACATGTACCCTGTTAGCAGTCACAACAAGGGTGTAGGAGAAAATGCGGCTTGACATGTACCCTGTTAGCAGTCACAACAAGGGTGTAGGAGAAAATGCGGCTTGACATGTACCCTGTTAGCAGTAACAACAAGGGTGTAGGAGAAAATGCGGCTTGACATGTACCCTGTTAGCAGTCACCAAGGGTGAAGGAGAAAATGCTGCTTGACATGTACCCTGTTAGCAGTAACAACAAGGGTGTAGGAGAAAATGCGGCTTGACATGTACCCTGTTAGCAGTCAACAAAGGGTGTAGGAGAAAATGCTGCTTGACATGTACCCTGTTAGCAGTCACAACAAGGGTGTAGGAGAAAATGCGGCTTGACATGTACCCTGTTAGCAGTAACAACAAGGGTGTAGGAGAAAATGCGGCTTGACATGTACCCTGTTAGCAGTCAACAAGGGTGTAGGAGAAAATGCTGCTTGACATGTACCCTGTTAGCAGTAACAACAAGGGTGTAGGAGAAAATGCGGCTTGACATGTACCCTGTTAGCAGTCACAACAAGGGTGTAGGAGAAAATGCGGCTTGACATGTACCCTGTTAGCAGTCACAACAAGGGTGTAGGAGAAAATGCGGCTTGACATGTACCCTGTTAGCAGTCACAACAAGGGTGTAGGAGAAAATGCGGCTTGACATGTACCCTGTTAGCAGTCACCAAGGGTGTAGGAGAAAATGCGGCTTGACATGTACCCTGTTAGCAGTCACCAAGGGTGTAGGAGAAAATGCGGCTTGACAATGTACCCTGTTAGCAGTCACAACAAGGGTGTAGGAGAAAATGCGGCTTGACATGTACCCTGTTAGCAGTCACAACAAGGGTGTAGGAGAAAATGCGGCTTGACATGTACCCTGTTAGCAGTAACAACAAGGGTGTAGGAGAAAATGCTGCTTGGCATGTACCCTGTTAGCAGTTACAACAAGGGTGTAGGAGAAAATGCGGCTTGACATGTACCCTGTTAGCAGTCACAACAAGGGTGTAGGAGAAAATGCGGCTTGACATGTACCCTGTTAGCAGTCACAACAAGGGTGTAGGAGAAAATGCTGCTTGCCATGTACCCTGTTAGCAGTCACAACAAGGGTGTAGGAGAAAATGCTGCTTGACATGTACCCTGTTAGCAGTCACAACAAGGGTGTAGGAGAAAATGCTGCTTGCCATGTACCCTGTTAGCAGTCACAACAAGGGTGTAGGAGAAAATGCTGCTTGACATGTACCCTGTTAGCAGTCACAACAAGGGTGTAGGAGAAAATGCTGCTTGACATGTACCCTGTTAGCAGTCACAACAAGGGTGTAGGAGAAAATGCTGCTTGCCATGTACCCTGTTAGCAGTCACAACAAGGGTGTAGGAGAAAATGCTGCTTGCCATGTACCCTGTTAGCAGTAACAACAAGGGTGTAAGAGAAAATGCGGCTTGACATGTACCCTGTTAGCAGTAACAACAAGGGTGTAAGAGAAAATGCGGCTTGACATGTACCCTGTTAGCAGTCACCTGTTGAATCACTGTAATATATGACAGTTAAAAGTTTTGTTGTTTTCTACTTTTTCAAATTTTATATTGCCTATTCATACACCACTTACCGCTGTCATGTCTTTGATAAATGTAACAATAAAAAAAACTCTTTTTTTTTCGTTAAAAAAATGGTGTTTCCGCTGAGGATTGAACTCAGGACCTTCCGCGTGTTAAGCGGATGTGATAACCACTACACCACGGAAACAGTTGTCATACAGTTCATTGTAGTTTTGTATGAATTCAAATAAGCTGTGAGTATGGTATCAACAGTTTAAAGTCTTGTACATACAGGGTACATATCAAGCAGCATTTTCTCCTACACGCTTGTAGATATGTCGTATTTAATAAATGCTCAGTAACTTCTAATATTATGGTTAAGTATATTTTGAAGTTTCTCAAATAAAACACCAAATATCTTGTTACTTAAACTTGTCTTTTTTCCAATTCATTATGAGATTTTATTATTTATAGCGATATATATACAGTAAAACAAAGTACAAAGTACGCCCCGTACATTCAATCAGGGATGTTATATTTCCGATCCTGAAAGATCGTTCAGCACGACATTATTGTTGTGCTTGTGGTATTTTAGTTCTATCTATTCGGCATCTTTCTTGTTGGGTGGTTCCAGTATTCCTCACTTGAATACTGTTGAATCACCCTTAGGATATGAGGCCTGCTTTTTAAATTTGTCTTTTGACGTTTTATCTGTGATATGCAGGCTTCATAACCTCGGATCCCCTTTCAAAATTCCATTTTATTTAGTTCCGCCCATTGTTTTCTCGTTTAGGGCACACGCATTTTTTACTTGGGGACCATACGCCGCTTTTCATGGAATGACACTAACGTGTCACATTGAAGGTTCCATGATAACCGCCATATGAACACATCTGCGGATGTTTCAAAATTCTAAATTTTACTAGTTCATGTTAAATGTTGAATTCTGCTTAAGCCGGTGCTAGGGGGCGTGGACGGTAGTTTGTACTTGACAGTACCGTCCATGAACAGGCTCAATCAAACCGAGCCTGCAACATTTTCAATTTTGCCGCGTTGGGCTTTCTTTAGGGATTCTTTTTTCACTCTATTTTAACAATTGTATAGATGATTTGAGAATTGAAATAGCAAATGTTACTATTTAAATACATAATTTCGACAAAGTAAAACGTTTTACGGTACTTGATTTAAGATCCTGTAACACAAATTTTTTATGGTTTTATATCATAAATATGATGCTCAAATTAAGATTTATCAATTTTGTAAGTTCCAAAAAGCATTATTTATAAAGATATTATTGAATTTAACATTTCATTTAAATAAATGAAGGTAATAAAAATTTATTTTCTATAAAGTCTAAGTCATTTTTTCAATAAGAAATGAATGCATATATTTTAATGATTACATATAATATGTACAAATATTTGCAGTACATATTTTACATATGTATTTTACCCTACATATTCTTCGGTGTTTGAAAATTGTTTTAGAAGAATAATTATATACACATATAAAAAAATATATAAGCATCTGTATGGTGCACATGATTCATATATAGTTTTCATAAAATCGGATTAGTGTCAATACGGTAACATAAACATACATGTACCCACATAAATTCCGATATAACTTTTTTCACGGCCTTCTTCGTGTAAACCTTTATAGTTTAGAAAGCAAGTTTGTCGGAAATAAACCAGTTGATTTATTGAAAAGGATTTTTTGTCATGGTAAAAAATTGAAGTGACTTGCGTTAATGTTTTTTTTCTGTAATATAAAGTTTAGAAAGTATGTTTTTCGGAAATAAACTAAATTATTTTTTGGATAAGGATCGTCTTGTCATGGTAGTAAAAGTGACTTTTATTATTTTGTTTTCAACGACAATCAGGCTGGAGAGGATTGATTTAAATATGCAACAAAAGAAAACGTTTGATTAATGTAACAAACCTCCGGCGGGATTCGAACACGCAATCCCCGGCTTAGGAGGCCGATGCCTTATCCATTAGGCCACGGAGGCGATGTTATCGTACATTGTAAAAACACTTTTGTTGCCAATTATTTGAATATTTAATGAACAAGTAAACGTTGTTTTTTATTTTACTATAAATTTTAATTGAATACACATAGATAGAAAACTTTGTTAAAAAAAGAATGTTTCCGCTGAGGATTGAACTCAGGACCTTCCGCGTGTTAAGCGGATGTGATAACCACTACACCACGGAAACAGATGTCTTATGTTATTGTAGTATTGTACATATTCAAATAAGTCGTTCCG